GAAAAAAAAGAAAAAATTAATGAAAACAAGCAAGAAAAGCTAGAAAAAAAAAAAAATAATAATATTCAAAAATAAGAATAATTACATTAAATTAAAAGCGTATTTTAAGATAAACAAACTAAATTCTTTTAAAGTTTCACTACAATCTTCAGGCACTACTAATACTTTTTCTTCTTTGTTTTTTCGTCTTTCATAGTTTATTTAATTCTTCTTCTTTTTTCTTTTTTTCCTTTTCTTTTTCTCTCTACTTTTTAATTTTTATTTTATTTGTTTACTTCCTTTTTGTTCTTTTTTTTTTTTTTTATTTTGTTTTTGTTTTTTTTTAAGTTTTTTTTTTTTTAAGTGTTCCTTTTTTTTTTTTAATTCGAAGTTCTTTTTCTTTTCTTTTTTTTTTTTTTTCTTCCTTTCCTTTTGTTTTGACTTTTCAATTTCGTTTGTTTAAAGGCGATCTTAAGACCGCTATCAAATTATTTATGCATATAAAACAAAAAATTATTTACTTGTTATTATGATTTGGTTTTATCTTTAATTTTTATATTTATCTTTTCTATTCTTTTCTTTTTCTCTTTTACCGTTAAAAAAACGTGACCGCCATTTGCGAAGACCTACCACTGTCAAAAAGACATTTATTTAATTATATAATTATATATATATATATTATTTCAATATATATATATATATATATACAGGCCTTGTTTTAAAGCGTTACGCCTAGAGCGATTTACGTACGCTTTAAGCGCTTTTTACGTACGCGTTTTATCATTTTTTAACTTTTAAATAAGCGGTAACATAAAAGAAGTAATTAATTTTCAAAAAAACCACATTAACTTTTAAATAACGATATGTAAAGGTATTTATTTAAAAAAATAATTTACTTTAAAAATAATTGTTGTAACTTTTCATCGCGATATATCTTTCCTTTTTATAGCAATTAATTTGACGCTAAACTTTTTATCCAAATATTTAGCAACATGAAAAATTGTTTGTCAATCCTTAACTACAAATTTTTTGCAATGTTTTTAATAAAAAGTAGTAATTTTTTAAAGTTTTTAGTAAAAAACTTTAAAAAAATCTATATTCCATATTTATTAATACAGAATATAAACGTTTTTTGTAATATAGATTTTTTATGAATTTTTTACTGAATTTATAATAAAAAACATTTGCAAAAAAATTTGTAATTAAGAATTGACATTTTTTAAAATAAAATCTCAAAAAATGTCTTAGTATTTTTGTTATCATGATAACAAAAATATCAAGACATTTTTTCGAGATGTTAAAAAAAATGTCTTTAATGACAGTCTCCATTTTTTACTAGTGAATATGTATTTTTCTTTATAAAACAAAACAAACTAGTATATATTAACCTTGTATATTTCTATTATCTCTAAATTGTTTAAAGTTCGAATATGGATTGTATTTTGAAGGACAAAAGATTTACTTTAAAAACTTTTAAATCTTGGGACTTTGCCGATGCTTTGCCGATGCGATGATCACAGAAAAAAAGAAGACTTACGTTATTAAAATCAAATGTAAGTTATGTGATCTTCATCAAAATAAAATATTATCCAAAAACAATGGTGCCGTAAGGGCAACTGTCCAACGGTTTATAAATAACACAAGTCATGTTAAAATATTTTAACATGTTACTATATTTTAATTAAGTTGATATATAATTAAAAATAAAAATATAGTTCAATAAATAAGTTAAATTTTTTCTTAACAAAGATTACCTCATATTTATTCTTTTTTTTATTTTATTAAGTTAAATTGCTTACAAACGAAAAAAAAAAAAGAGTTTTGTAATTATACGTAGAATGAAAATACTTTTGAGTTTGTTTATAAGTTAAGGAACTTAATTTTTAATAAACAAATTTTTACGAACGTTTATTATAAACAGATATGATTCAAATTATTAAATATACTTAAATTATTTCAGTTGAGTATTTTTTTAAGTTTCCACGATTAAAGTTTGGCGTAGAAGTATTTGTTTTTTTGTTTTAAGAATAATTAACAAAAGAGTTTGCATAATTAAGACTTTTATATTTAATTTAATTTTTTTTTTAATTTCCTAAAATTAAAAAAAGAAAAGATTTAATTGTTAAAAATGATTTTCTTTATAGCTCTGTTTCTTTGTGATTTGTTTAAATAGTTAAATATTTTTACAATAACATAAAAAATTTATGAATTAAATTCCTAGCGAACGCGTTCTAAACTATGTATCAAAAATATGCTCAAAGCAGACAAAACTTTTATATATTTTTATAAAACACAAGTTGAAACGCTTTTAAAAATTTTAAAAATATTTAAAAACTTAAATTTTTCTTTGCTAGTCAAAACAAAATCGTTGTTTAAATAATTAACATGGGTTTGTGTTTATCAATGTTAATATTTTTTGTTTACTCTAGAAATTTTTAAAAATAAAAAAAATCATTATTTTTTATTCAATAACGATTAAAAACAATTATTCAAAAACAAATTCAGAAATAATTAAAATATATATATATATATATATATATATATATATATATATTTTACTAAAAATTATTGAACTAAAATTAATAATAAAATAACAATTGAAAACATTACAAAATTTTCATAATAAATTTATATTTAAAACGTTTATAGTTTATATTTGAGTTAATTGTTAAATTGAACTAGTTTGCGGTTATTTATTGGGTTAGTTAAAACACTTAATGTCTATAAAAAAAAATAAAGATAATTTTATGGCGTCAAAATCGCGTTAGCTAATGCATTAAGCACTTTTTTATTTAAAACAAGGCCTGATATATATATATATATATATATATATATATATATATATTAGGGTGGTCCATAAAACAACTTTTTTGAGAAAAACCTGCTGACACCCCCTAAATGTGTTTTATCTAATGCAAAAACACTAGGTTTAAAATTTTTTTGAACAAAAATTATTTTTAGGGGTAGCTCAAGGCCCTCAAAAATTTGACGGGTCCCTAATATTTTGAAAAAAAAACTTTTTCTAAAGTATGTCAACCTGGTACTCAAAATAAGCAAAATTATATAAAAAATTTAAAAATGATAATAATTTTTTATAAAAATAATTTTTTTAGGTATAAATGCATAAAAACTATTGTTTTTAAGCTGAAAATAAAAAAAGTCAATATTTTCAGGTTTTTTGAGAATAATTTTTTTTAGGCATGTTTTTTATGTAAAATGATTATTATTTTTGAAGTTTTTATACAATATCGCTTCTTTTGAGTACCAGGTTGACATACTTTAGAAAAAGTTTTTTTTTCAAAATATTAGGGACCCGTCAAATTTTTGAGGGCCTTGAGCTACCCCTAAAAATAATTTTTGTTCAAAAAAATTTTAAACCTAGTGTTTTTGCATTAGATAAAACACATTTAGGGGGTGTCAGCAGGTTTTTCTCAAAAAAGTTGTTTTATGGACCACCCTAATATATATATATATATATATATATATATATATATATATATATATATATATATATATCATATATCATAAATCATAAGCGAGAGGTTCCGAGTTCGATCCCAACCACGTCCCTGGTAGTACCGCGCTAAACTTGTTTCTCCGCGCAGCGGCCTTGTTTGTCAAGGTTCGTGTTTCGGAGTTATAGAGTTGAGAGAGGGTTATAACCACTTTTAAGTACCCTCCTTGTCTCTAGTGGCCTTCTCAGCCTTGAGGAGGTGAATAACAATATATATATATATATATATATACATATATATATATATATATATATATATATATATATATATATATATATATATATATATATATACACACACACAACAGTTAAATAAAAATGCTCATGGATAAAATAAAATTGATTACATTTTAGTTTTTTTAGTTTTACACTGTAATATTTTGTATATCATAAATACTTAAGAAAACAATTGTCAGCTACAGTTATTTTTCTGATATTGACTGATTCAAGCATCGTAACGTTTTCTAGAAAAAATGTTTTTAGAAAAAGAAGTTACATTTGACATAGCAGTTATTTTAACTTAATTTTAGTACATATTTAGTTTGCTTTTTTATTGAAACAATTTAATATTTTACAAATGTTGTTTTTGTTGCGTTTTCACTTATTTTTCTGTTATTAAAAAGTTACTTTCTTACTCTTCATTTTTGTGAAACATTCTTTTTTATAATTTAAAAAGTTTAAAAATTGCACTGAAATAGCTTGAAGTGAGAGAGCAAGTAATTGTAAGAAAAGACTTTTGTAATTAAAACATGATTGAATGAATTTGATACTTTTAAAATTGTTTTTGTGTGAGCTTTTTTTTTCTATTATTATTCACATCCTAAAGGCCAAGAAGGCCACTGCAGTTGAGGAGGCTACTTTTGTGGTTACAACCCTCTCTTAAATCTAAACTCTGAAACATGAACCTCTACAAACAAGGCCACTGTGCGGAAACAAGTTGACATATTTCAAATTTAAACAGACAAATTATTATAACTGTTTGTTAAAAAAAAAAAAAAAATTAAGTTTATAAAAGATTTAAATTTTGTATTTTAGAGTTAAAAATGAAACTTTAAAAATATTGAGTAGATAAAGTATATTTTATGTATAAAAAGTTTTTAATTAAAAATATAAAATTTAAATAGTTTTTCAAAAACTACTAATGCTCTTCATTTCTTTGTTGTTGTTGTGTTTTTTTTTACAATTTTTAAATATGTTTTTCTATCAAATTTCTTAAAAAAAAAATTTTAATAAGTTTTGACATATTTGTAAAATGCCAAAACATTTTAAAAAATCTTTAATTACGATTTTTTTCACCTTAAAGATCCTCATAAATATGTAACAAATACTTTTTTGATTTTTTTATTATTACTCAGTTATTATGTAATACTTATTAAAGTGATATTTTAAATGCGCAAGATGTTTTTTATTATTTTTGTTTATGCAAGTAAAATGCGTTTATTATGTGTGTTTGTGTGTTATTTTATATACATTAAATCACGTAAAAAAAAGTATTTTTTTATTCTAGATTCCAGATGGTGTATTTGAAAAATGTAAACTCTTGCATAAAAAGGTAGAGTTCTAAAATATTTTTTCTATATACAACTAAACTTAACTTAACCTAGGTTATGATGTCACTCCAATAGAGGATGCTATTTTATAACACTTTGCTCACTTTTTTAACTATTTTTTAACTAGAGTTCAATTTAATGCAGTAATTGTCCTATTATTAAGATTATTAAATTAAGAATTTTTCTTTGAAAGTGTTAATCGATTTTTCCCTTTTTTTTTTTTTTTTAAGAACTTAAGAATGTTTTTTTTTTTTTTAACTAGAACTAAGAAGCGTTACAGTTGTTGCTTTCATGTTAATATTTATTAAATAACTTCTCAGACGGAAGCAGATTTACACCATTTCTAAACCTTATTTTTTAAAATTATTCTAACCCTTAGATTTAGTGCGAAAATAACTGGCAAAAAAGGCCAGCAAGCATCTCAGAGGTACATTAAATTGCACATTAAATAATATTAAAGTTTCTAAAAAGTTGTGCAAATAGCTAACTTTTCTTGTTAAATTTTGAATTATATTCTGTTGGACACATTTTATTTTATTGTTGCTCTTTGCTCCTTATTTATCAATATAGCTTAGATCTTTAAAAAGTTTTTTAATTTAACTTTGAAATATTTTTGAGCCAGAACAGGCTTCTTATTATATGATGATTGTTATATGACTAAGTCAGTGACACCCTTGAGTGTGTATATATTGAGAAAAAACATTCACCCTAGAAATTCTTTAGATATCTATCTAATTTTGAAGGACAATAAAGAAAATAAATTGCTATTTTTTTGTAAAATATATTATTTAATAAATTTTGTAATGATGGAAGAAATTAAATCAAAGAATAGATTTCTTTTTTAAATGTATTTACCACTTTTAATGTCTGTCTGAAATTATTTCTTTTATATTGCCCAATATTGTCCAAAACTTATACGAAATACAAGAGGTAATGAACATAATGATTGCTTTGTATGAAAAAATGTATTTAAAAAAAACGTTTTAAATAGGTTCCCTTAAATATCATTAAACAGGGTCAGTAAATTACAAAGCACTAGCCTATAAATATCATTAAACAGGTTCAGTAAATTACAAAGCACTAGCCCATAAATATCATTAAACAGGTTCAGTAAATTACAAAGCACTAGCCCATAAATATCATTAAACAGGTTCAGTAAATTATAAAGCACTAGCACACAATGCACTAGCCCGCAAGCTTTTGGAGCATCATCAATAACAAAAGTTCATCAGGAAATAAACTAAATCGAGTTTAAATCCATTATTTGGAGAGTTCATTGAAAGTGCAGATCTCAATGGGAGTATGAGAAAATAACCAAACTTTTTATATTTGAACTAATAGTATTAATGTATTACTATTAATGACTTTTTTATTTTTTTATATAAAAAAATTGTTGAAAAATAAAATTTTATATGTAATAAAATTTTATATGTTTTTCCATATAGATTGAAAAAATCAAATATTGCTTTCAACAATTTTCAACGCTTAAATAAAAAAAACCTAATCAATAACAATCAGTATTTTTGAAACTATGGTTATGTTTGATTGTGTGAAATGTTATTCTTTTTTAAATAGTTGATTGATGTTTAATTACATGAAAACATCATTTTGTGTTTGATAGGCTTAAAATGATCTTAAATTGCTGACCATCCGTAACAACCAATTTCAAGTTGGGTTGAATATTGTTAAGTAATACATTTGAGGCACTCATTGTTGACTTGCTTTATGAAAATAAAAAAAAAATTCAAGATAAAAATATTATTATTATTTGATTTTCTCTTTGTTTTATAAATTTTATAAATTAAATACGCATAAGCGTATTTTAAATATAAAAAAAGCGTAAGTTAAATACGCTTTGTGCAAAGTTTGCATAAAGAGTATTTAATTTTTAATCTTGATTGTTTGTTGAAAGTTTAAAAATCATTTTTAAAGATGCTTTGAAGTTTTGAAATTTTTTTCTTCTTTAATGGGAGTTTAAACAACTTTAAAGAATTTTTTACTTTTATGGAAATCAAGTTAATTTAGTTTTGTCGATGTAGTTTAATAATTGTTCAGTAAATTCATTTTTTAAATTCAATGGTTAAATTACTCTTAAACTTTTAAATTTCTTTAATGTAAATTGTAAATTTGGAAACATGTAAATTTTAGAGAAAATGTTTAGAAGAGTAACTATTAAATAAGTAATAACTATTAAAAAAAAATTTTGTCAATAAAAATATTTTAACTGGAAGCATAATTAAATTATATCATTTGTTGAGCTATTTTTATTATTATTGTATATATTGTTATTGTATATATTGTATATTTTATTTCTTGTATTATATTTTTATATAGGCATTGAATCTGTCCCATAATTGTTTAGAAGAATTAAAAGGGGGTGGTGACTGCAAAAATCTTTCTCATTTGTTGGTAAGCAATTTTATTAAGCAGCTCAACAAAATCTGGAATGTTATTTAAGTTGAAAATGTTTCTTATTTAATAAAGTTATTTAAAAAAGTTTTTTCATTTTAAGTTTAAATTTTTATCAAAGAATTTAATTTTATTTGTTATTTTTCTTTATAATCGATGAATAAGTTTTTATTGTATATTTTAATTATAGAAGTATATAAACTACTTAGTAAATTGAGTTGACAGTAAATTGAGCTGACATTTGAATTAACAGTTGACATAAAGTTAAAATTTAAGTAAGAACAGTTAACATAAAGTTAAAATTTGAGTTAGAGGCAGTTCCATATAAAAACATCTAATTTTTTTTTAAATGCAACCTTAAGTCTCATGTATTGCTAATTTTCACACCACTCAAAGATTTTAATAAGTTATGAACATCCCCAAAATTTCATAATTTAATTCAAAACGATTTCAAAGGTATAACTATTTAAACTTTCCCATGAACCAAGAAAAACCCGCCATTTTAATAAATGGTTTTAATATTTGATTCTGTTCTCTGTGCAATGGAAAGCTGAAAATATACTACTTATTTGAGGCAAGGCTTAAAACAGGTTAAAAAGTTTAAAAAATTTATTTTCCAATAAAACAGTTTAAAAAGTTTAAAAATAAATATAACAACTGTTATTTTGACATTTATTGCAATTTTACTGGGGCAAGTTTAATTACAATGATATTAATATAGCCTGATTTTATTTTATTTTTCAGTTGTTGTAATACAACCTGAATAGTTTAGTTAGAGTTGTTACAAAATAATGAAGAGTGGTCTTTTTTAAAACAGAAAAAACATGGTCAAATTTACTAAAATTCGTTACTCATAAAACACGAATTGAGAATAATCGAAGGAAAAAATATAAGTGGTTCTCTTAAGTTTAAACATGTTTATTACAGATGTTTATTAATTTGGAGAGGTAAATTAACATTAAAAAAAAATCTTTTGTCTATTGCTGTGAGAACTGTTTTCTTTAAAATATTTTTAAGTAAAAAAACAGAAGTAGATTGTTCATATTTGCCTCGTATTTGTTATAATAATCATTCTGACTATAAATTACTTTTTAAGCTCAATTTTATAAACTATTAAATACTATATTAGATAAAATAGTAAATGCTCCATCATAAAAATGTTGTAACACATATAATGTAGAAAGTGATAAAATTTTAAAATGCAGAAAGTAATGGTGAACAACTTTATAAAGTTTCAACAAATTGTTGGCCACTGGTCAATAAAAAACAACTGCTTATTATTTATTAAAATTAATTTAGTAACAATTTGTTTAGTATATTTTGGGAAATATACTAAAATGGGAAAATTTTCCAAAAAATAATAAACATCAACTGTATTAAGTACTTAGGAGAACCACCTTTTTTTCTTTTAATTTTTCAGAATTCTTGTTTTATAAGTAGCAAATTTATGTAATTTTGACCGTATTTTTTTTTTCTGTTTAAGAAATGACCATTCTCCATTCTTTGTAACAACTCTAACTAAACTATTCAGAACAACATCTAAAAAAAAAAACTTGCCTCAGTAATATTGTTATAAAGGTAAAATTTACAGGTGTTACATTTATTTTACAATATTTTATATTCCTCAAAATGTGGAAGTGTACATATTTTCAGCTTTCCATTGCACACAGATCAAAAACAATGATCAAAACCATATTATAAAACGGATTTTTGTTGGTTCATGGCAAAGTTAAATAATGTTTAAAACCTTTTGGAATTAAATGATAAAATTTTGGGGATGTTTATAACTTATTATAAAAGGTTTGCATGCCCTGGATATTTTCACATGGAACAGTTAACATAAAGTTAAACTTTTATTTAGAGAAATAAAAATAAAGTTAAAATTTGATTTAAAGCAGCCGACATGAAGATAAAATTTGAGTTAAAACAGTTGACATTAAGTTGAAATTTGAGTTAGAACAGCCAACATAGAGTTGAAATTTAGGTTAAAACGTTTTCTTTTAATTTTTTGTAAATGTTAATTAACCTCCCAAGACCATGAAGGCCACTGCAGTCAGAGTTCTATTGTTGTTTTTTTTGCAGTCAGAGTTTTACAACTCTCTCTTAACTCTATAACTCTGAAACATGAATCTTGATGAACAAGTTTTTCATTTGAAAAAGTATTGAATATTTTGTGAAATTTTTAAACCAATTAGCTCAAGATATTTGCCAGAAGAATTCAAAGTTTAAAGAAACTCCTGCTTAAAATGTTATAGTAATACAATTAAGATTTAATATTTTAAATTATATTTTAAATTGTTTAAAATATTTAGGGAAAATATACAATATAACCACGACATTACCAAAACAGTATAACCACAAAATTAACAAATCCAACATAAGCAGACATTAAATAAATTATAACCATGACATATAAAAACCAGACATTAAATAAAATATAACCATGACATATAAAAAACATTAAAATTTTGTTGTATCAAATACAATATAACCGTGACATTACCAAGTAAAACAAACAGAAAAAAATTGATCATTAAATTTTGTGAATTTTAAGCCTATTGGAAATTACGCATTATACACAGTGCTATTTGGCTGGCTAACACCTTGCTCAAGCTATTTTAGTTTAAATAATAACTAAAATTTGCTAATATTAATTTTAGTTGTCAAAATTTTTATAATAATAATAATAAGTTTTAGATGTCAAAATTTTTTAAATAATTTGTTTATATAGCAGCATATTAAATAAATAGTTTTAACATAGTTTTCTGAAACAAATAGTAGTTTAAAAATATTAATCTGAAACACATATTAGTTTTGAAATATTGTTTTGAAATAAAATTGTAGTTTTTAGATATTGTTTTGAAATAATTAGTAGTTTTATGAAAATGTTTTGAAATGAATAATAGTTTTGAGATATTGTTTTTTTGCTGTAAGTTTTTTAATTTAAAATACAAATAACAATTGGTTTCACTTTTTACTTTAATTGGTTTAGATATTAGATTTATCAAATAATGTTATGACAAAACTTAATAAATCTATCCACCTTCTTGCAAGTCTTCAGGTTTATATTTAATTTTTTTTTAATTTATATAATTGCTTTTTATTGACTATTTTTACAGGAACAGGATTTCTTTTAATCATATTTTATTTTTACTGCAATATTTTTGGTTGACATTACGAATATTACCTACCACTTATATATATAATATGCAATATATATATGTATATATATATATATATATATATATATATATATATATATATATATATATATATATATATATATATATATATATATATATATAATATAAATATATATATATATATATATATAGGTTTTTTTTTTTTTTTTTTATTTTAATTCACCTCCTCAAGGCCAAGAAGGCCACTACAGACGAGGAGACTACTTATTTGTGGCTATAACCCTCTCTCAACTCTATAACTCCGAAACACGAACCTTGACGAACAAGGCCGCTGGGCGGAGAAACGAATTGGGCGCGGTACTACCAGGGACGTGGTGGGGATCGAACTCGGAACCACTCGTTTATGAAACGAGCGCTCTACCACTACACCACTACCGCAAATAAATAGGTTTCTTTTATAATCTAAAACTTCATCGCTTCTAATCTTTTTTCATTATTTTTTTAACACCAAACAACTTGAAAGATCCCAATTTTAGCTCAAGATTTATAACTTTTAAAAATTCAATATGGTTTCATGCCTTATAACTTTAAAATCTCATCATTTTTGAACATCTTACAGCTTTAGAAAACAAATTAAAAATTAAAAAGAGAAGTGCAATTTAAAAAACCCTGAAGTATAAACTGGTTCAAACTAAGCCTCTAAAAACAAGCAAATTTATATATGCATATATATTCTGAAATCTGTACCCCCCCCCCCCCCCACCTCAAATATTTCCAAAAGGTGCCCACTATGTCTATACAAGAAATTTGCAATTATATCCTATCCTAAATCTGATGAACTCCTAAATAAACGAAACGAAATCATATCAAAGTGCCGCCAGTTTTGTAGTTTTTTAATAAAAACAAGTTTTTATTAAAAAACTACAAAACTCGCTACAAACATAACTAACCACTAACATTAACTACGCAACCCTATTTCGTACACCTCAAGGCTAATCAATAAATTATTCACATACACAGCTTTTGTAATATATTTTGTAATATAATTTATATTCTTATACCCACTTTTGAAACTTATTTTTATATTCATTTATTTTTAATACAATAATTTTTTAAAAACAATTCACATTATTATTAAATCGTATTTTTATAACAGACATTAAAACATACAACAACTTCACATATTTTAACCAAAAACAAATTAATAATAACATTAACCTTAACTACTAAACAATTTCCGTCCCATAACGATCTAAAATACTAATATAAACCGTAAATTTTTTCTAAACACATTGTAGCAAAATTAACTTTTGACTACTTGCCTGATGATTGTGGTAACACATGAAACTTTAAGTCGCAATATAATATTATAATCATTAGCATTTAGCTAATTCCTGATACTGCGGGTAACAGTAATATATATACTATATATACATACATATATATATATATATGTATATATATATATATATATATATATATATATATATATATATATATATATATATATATATATATATATATATATATATATATATATATATATATATATATATATATATATATATCAAAATCTGAGGCAGTATATATTGATTGTTGTTGTCATGCTGTTCCACTTAGTAAATGACATTCAATACATTATTGTTTTTATACTTTTTGTTTATTTAGAAGTTAGATTTGTCTCATAACAAATTTAAAGAGCTACCAGAATCCATTGGAAAACTGGTTTCTTTAAAAGTTCTTCTTTTAACTGGTAAAAAGTTTTTTTTTTTTTTTAATATTTTTCTTTTGAGTTTGTGGGACAAAAAGATAAAATGCGTTTGCAACCTCTTCCCATTAATTTTTCTAACCAAGTTACTTTTATATTGTGACGCAACATGGTTGCCACCAAATCAGGGAAATCAGGGAACTGGGAAAGTCAGGGAAATTTAGGTATGATCAGGAAAAATTAGAGAAAAAAGAATGATTTAGTAAAAAGTCTGGGAAAATCAGGGAATTTTTTAGTTTTGTACTATTTTATTGTAATGTTTTAAACATTTTATAGTAAATAATATTCACTTTCTAGTTTACTAATTAAATAATTATACAGCTCAAATATATTAATATTATAAAAATCATTAAAGAAAATTTTTTTTCTGGTTATTAATTTACAGTACAAAATAAAAGTTTGTACAAAATATTTTATATAAGTTTGAGTGAAACCATTATTAATAATTTAATAGAACTTATTATGCACTTTTTTTGTAGAAATAGCTTCAACATGTGAAGACTTATAAAGTTTTTTAAACCATATTGTATTTTCATTCTCTTTTTTTAGAAAAAATAAAAAATTTTAAATGACAGTTTATTTCAATGAAGAATGTTTGAGTGATCCGTTATTGAAAAAATGGGTGGTAAATGGCACAGATAAAAAGTCAGTCAAGTGCAAAACAAGTTCATTCAACTTATCAAATATAGATCAGAGAGCTGTGACAAGTCACATGGAAGGGAACAAACATGTTCAGAAATTCAAAACCAATATACTGCTACTTCAAACCTGCATAGTCTGCATCTAAAAACTAAGGAGTTCTTATAGTAGAGCAATCTGATAAAATTTATGCAGGTATCTCTTTTGCATGCTGTACAAAACAATTTCTCATTAAACTTGTGTAATAAAAATGGTCTACTATATCAATAAGTGTTTCCTGATAACACAGCTGTTAAATCTTATGAGATGAGTAGAAAAAAACTTGGTTATCAGGCTTGGACAGGAATGGCATGTGATCGAGTGCTAATTCTGACCAAGCAAATGATTTTATTTTTTGGCAACTTGACCATGACTGTTAAGATGTTTAGATGATTTTGAAAGATTTTAGAAATGCGATGAAAAAAGAAACGCTAGCTATACTTAAACTAAGAAGAAAATAAAAAAAAAGAATAATAAAAAAAACAAATTCCTTACGAAAAATAAAATATATAAGCGCTAAAATAAAATTAAAAAAACTCGTAGCGAAAATTACTTTTTGTTACGTTTTTAATAGCATTTAAAATAATTACTTAAAAATTCATCTTTGGAAATGTTTTATTAGAGTTATGCAAAATGCTTTTACAAATTACTTCTAATGATTGTTTAATGAAAGAACAAATTTTTATAAATTACTAAAAAGTGTTATATATATATTATTTTTAAATTGTATAACCATTTATTTTTTTCAAAAAGTTGCTAAAAAAAAGTTGTTTAAAAAAATATCATAGTCTATTTAAAATAGTAATTTTTAATCAATTCATGCTCCGATTAGTTAGTCAAGTTTAAAAAAAAAAAAAATTAAACTTTGTAAAAATAGAAACAAAAATCAAGCAACGGAGTTGCAACGGAAGATTTAGTTTAACTTATTCATAATTTAAAGTATTTAAAAAAATTATCTTTCAAAAGATTTTTAGAATGTCATAAAAAAATAGTTTCAAACAAATTATTATATTAAAGTTTATCATAAAAAAAAACATACCTACATAAAAAATATTATTTTTTAATTTACACTAAATAAGTTTATTTTAAACGATTACTATAATTTTTATTTTATTTTATTTAAAGCCTTTGCGTAAAATAAAAACTTTGGAGAAGATCAACAATTAAAAGTTATTTATAACTTTACAATTTTTTAAATAACATTTAAATTGTTAAAACATCAAAACTGCGTGGTCAAATTGTAAACAAAAAATATAAGCAGGGTCAGTTACAGCATGCAATCGCACGCCATTTCTGTCCTAGCCTGGTTATTAATGTTGGTCTAGGGCATTATTTACACATATTTTTAAAAGAAATATCTGGATATTCCTTTTTTTACCTTTTTATTTGACGAAAGCCTGAATGATTTTTTTCAAAATTAATCAAAATTACAAAATAAATTTCAAAAATAAAAAGGTATTAATTTTTGGAACAATGATCTAAATTATGTTGAATACAAATACTTTCACTCACAAATACTTTGGCTACCCTCCTGCATAAAATTACTTGAAAGTATGACCACATCTTTGGCAATGATTAATTGCATAAATCTTAAAAAACTGTGTACAGATGGCCTAAAATAAACTGGTTATTTCTTGATCTTATTAAAAACTACCGATTTAAGAGTTGCAACCTCCATGTAATTCATGGTGCTTTTAAAACTGGTTAGCAATCAAGAAAGTTAATAAAAGCTTCATGCAACCTATAGTTCTCCTGCCAGAAGAGCATGTAATTGTCACTGAACTAAACATAAATTAACTTTTTGAATTTTTCAAATAAATTGAATTTTTTTTTGTTACATTGCTAGTTTGTTGCAGAAAATCTTAGTGAGATATCTGATAGACACCCAAATGATTTAATCTCTTTAAAGATTTGTTTTTGTCTGATTAAAGCTTAATGAGGTTAGTAATTAAACAAGATGTTTTATGCAGCATCATCAATGGGAGGCAACTTCTGAAATTTTATTTCACTAGAAAACAAAAGTTTCTGCTGCTAAAATCAATTACAATTGGTTCTGCTGCAGAACGTAACGTTATGGAATTAATGGAGAAAAGGTGTGATTTCAAGATGTGATCAATATATTCATGATTGTTGACTTGTAGTTATTAAAATCTTCAAAAAGTTTAAATTAATTGTCTTTTCTTGAAGCAACTACTTACATCAGTTCAGAGTAAATCCTATCAAAAAAAGCTGATTTTCTTCTACAGATGAAATCTGTAGATTATCAGCTTTTACTTCATCTAATTCTTTTCTGCTTGCATATCTCTTCAAATAAATGTGATCTCGTTTTAAAGGGATCCCAAACTCCCAACACATGTTGTGTTCATATTAAAGATAATGTTAAAAAAAAAGGTTTGAACCAAATTTTTTTGATTAAAAATAAATAATGAATGCATACCGTGAAAAACAAATGTTGAACTTGCTAAATTGGATATGGATAAAAAAAAAATTTTGCATTTGATTTTTGATAACGAAACTTTTGAAATGTCGGCAACTCCATACCAATTAGAACTTGTTAAGGTTATGAAAAAAAAGAACAAGAACACACCAAACAATACAGTTGTCAGTAGTATCAGATATGAAAATTTTAATGTTGTTATGGCTAATGTGTCAAAAATAAATAACAGCAATAACAGCACAAGCCGGCATTATGAATTTTAAATAATAAGTTTACTGTTCAATACTTTATAACCATCAAATTGAAAACATTAAGTACGTATATTTTTGCCCGTTTTATACAATTAACATTTAATAAAAATACAGACAAATTATTATTAATTAACGCAATAATGACCACATTAATTTATGGCAACAACTCAAAACGGATACTAATTTAAATTGTTAAAATATCGCAACGCGCGTTAAAAAACATTATATTTGGTATTTCCCAATTTATGTGCCGTAATTTGTGAAAACACCTAATGAAAATTTTACTAAACAATAGACGATGTGGCGTCTGACTTTCTCGCGCAAAATTCGGGTAGTTCTGAATGTCACACAATAAAATTTTGTTTTTACTCTAACATATTTTACATACTATAGGAACAAATACGTTCCTAGGGCCTTTTCTGATCTTGGAATAAATTAACACATAATTTTAGGGGCTTTTTATTTATTGCTAAGTCGTTCTAAATAATAAGTAAATATAGTTAAAGTTAATATTTTAATAATTACAGTTGCAATGTAACAAAAAAAAGATGTTTAATGTTGAACTTTTTATTTAGTTATTTATTTTTTACCTACTTTTGTTATAAAAAGACTTTAGTACCCCCGTCATTTAAATAATTTGTTTTAAATATATTTCGACGTGATTATTCAAACTAATTTTTTTCGTTTGACTTCCCCAAGCAAATTGAGACAAAATATCTTCTAACCAAATAAAAATGTTGTTACTAATTTTATACGGGTAATTAATGTAAAACATTTATTTATTTGAGTCTTATAATTGGGATAATAATTTTATATGGGTAATTAATGTAAAGCATTTTTTTTATCAGAGTCTTGATTGAGATAATAAATATTCATAATTTATAAACATTAAATATATGGCGCAATAACAATTTATAGCAACTAACCAGCATAAAATATTTAAGGTTTTTAATATCTTTTTAAATATCAAAAGTAGAAGAAAAAAAAGCTAAACAAATAACCAAAAAAACTTCGACTAAAAATAAATAAAAATATTTCCAGAATTTCTTTTGTTAAAAGTCTACCGTGACGTCAAATACTAAAACTTTTATGAATTAAACGCGCTTCAAAGGAATTGCCAAAGTCTGTAGATTGCGACACATAATTTAAAGACTCAGAGTAGTTGAAAAAAATGGAGAAGACGAGCTTCGGCAAAAACAGCAACATTTGTTTTTCATGGTATACATTCATTATTTATTTTCAATCAAAAAAATTTGGTTCAAACCTTTTTTTTTAACATTATCTTTAATATGAACACAACATGTGTTGGGAGTTTCGGATTCCTTTAACACAATTCTTGAAGTTTAAAGAAAAAGGTTCATCTAATCTTTTACCATCATTAAAATATCACACTAGAAATTGTTAAGACAAATTTTGAAACCATCAAAGTTGGTATAAAATACAAGGTTTTGTCAAAAGTCTTGATAGTAGTTTGGTCTGTTAGGTCATGGTCAAACAATAGTTGAGGGGGGCTTTAGTATAAATAGTAATATGCTTAGTGAAAACAAGAAAGAAAAGTCACTTGTCTTTTGTGAAAAAAAAACAAGTGACTATCGAAGATTTCATTGAAGGCCCAACAAAATGAAGACTCAACAAGTAAAAACCAACAATGACTGTTTGCAATGTCTTGTTAAAATATTAATAATATCTAGAGGAAAATAGAAAGTTGCAAACATTATCCCAAAAGTAATGGGATAATGTTGTTCAACCAAGTAGTATTAGGACTTTAGGAGCATGAAAAAGTTTTGAGTGAAGTATGAAGTATGAAATGCAAATTATTATTACCTTTCTAGTTATTTAAAATATTTTAAATACTGGTTATTCTTTCGAGCTTTTTAATATTTTGACATTCTTTATATTTCGTATTAGTTTTTATATTTGTTTCAAAGACCAATTTGCTAATTTCAACTATTTTTTAAAAGGGTACAAATCGTTTTATTTATTTTTTTTAATTAATTTTTTTATTTTTTATTTAATCAAACAAATTTTTGGTTTTCCATTTAAAATAGAAATATAAAAATTTTTTATATATAGAAAGCAGGCTATCTGTTTTCTTTTAGGAGTAAACATAGCATGTCTGGGGGTTGATGTCAAAGTTCTAATGCTTAGTTATTGAGTAAAAATGATAGAAATGTCAGGGGAATATAAGCAAAACTTTATTTAAAAAATCAGGGAATTTTATTCCAGATTTATAATGGCAACCTTGCTACAAGTTATTTTTATAATGTAGCTTTGACTCAACAAGTTATTTTTGTAATCTAGCTGTGAATCAACAAGTTGTTTTTATAATATAACTGTGATTCAACAAGTTGTTTTTATAATGTAACTGTGATTCAACAAGTTGTTTTTATAATGTAACTGTGATTCAACAAGTTGTTTTTATAATGTAACTGTGATTCAACAAGTTGTTTTTATAATGTAGCTGTGATTAACAAGTTGTTTTTATAATGTAACTGTGATTCAACATGTTGTTTTTATAATGTAGCTGTGATTCAACAAGTTGTTTTTATAATGTAGCTGTGATTCAACAAGTTGTTTTTATAATGTAGCTGTGATTCAACAAGTTGTTTTTATAATGTAGCTGTGATTCAACAAGTTGTTTTTATAATGTAGCTGTGATTAACAAGTTGTTTTTATAATGTAACTGTGATTCAACATGTTGTTTTTATAATGTAGCTGTGATTCAACAAGTTGTTTTTATAATGTAGCTGTGATTAACAAGTTGTTTTTATAATGTAACTGTGATTCAACAAGTTGTTTTTATAATGTAACTGTGATTCAACAAGTTGTTTTTATAATGTAACTGTGATTCAACAAGTTGTTTTTATAATGTAGCTGTGATTAACAAGTTGTTTTTATAATGTAACTGTGATTCAACATGTTGTTTTTATAATGTAGCTGTGATTCAACAAGTTGTTTTTATAATGTAGCTGTGATTCAACAAGTTGTTTTTATAATGTAGCTGTGATTCAACAAGTTGTTTTTATAATGTAGCTGTGATTCAACAAGTTGTTTTTATAATGTAGCTGTGATTCAACAAGTTGTTTTTATAATGTAGCTGTGATTCAACAAGTTGTTTTTATAATGTAGCTGTGATTCAACAAGTTGTTTTTATAATGTAGCTGTGATTAACAAGTTGTTTTTATAATGTAACTGTGATTCAACATGTTGTTTTTATAATGTAGCTGTGATTCAACAAGTTGTTTTTATAATGTAGCTGTGATTCAACAAGTTGTTTTTATAATGTAGCTGTGATTCAACAAGTTGTTTTTATAATGTAGCTGTGATTCAACAAGTTGTTTTTATAATGTAGCTGTGATTAACAAGTTGTTTTTATAATGTAACTGTGATTCAACATGTTGTTTTTATAATGTAGCTGTGATTCAACAAGTTGTTTTTATAATGTAGCTGTGATTCAACAAGTTGTTTTTATAATGTAGCTGTGATTCAACAAGTTGTTTTTATAATGTAGCTGTGACTCAATAAGTTGCATTTATAGCATAAGTATAATCATAACAGATTTGTGTTTGAAGTAATTGTAAAAAGTTACTATGATATTACATTTGTACTAAAAAATTTGTACTAAAAAACAGATAGTATAAGGTTGTTTTTAAGCTTGTTCTGTCACTATATTTTTTGGTTGTGTTTTTTTAATTGTTAATAATTTTGTGTGCGTGCGTGCGTGTGTGTGTGTGTGTGTGTGTGTGTGTGTGTGTGTGTGTGTGTGTGTGTGTGTTAATAATAAAATTTTAATAATAACAGAATAATATTAATAATTAAAAAATAAGCAATAAGAAAAGAAATAAAAAACAATGCAAAAAATTGAGTAGAAGCATAATAAAAAATTTATATTACCCAGATAACCTGTTGACATCTTTACCGCAAAGCATTAAAAGCTTACAGCAGCTCGAGGAACTAGATGTGTCTCAAAATAAATGGATTACAAGTCTTCCTGTCAATCTGTGTTATTTGAGAGCATTAAAGGTATCAGAATTACTCAGTAATTTTTTGCTTTTTTATGTGTTGAAACCACTAAACCAAAACGTTTTTGTTAAAATGTTATAAAAATTATTTTTGTTTTGTTAAGTAAAATGTGTTTTATATTATCTATTTATGGTTATTTAGATTTATATATTTGTATGACTAAATATGTTTTTGTTTTTTTTTAATGTTTATGTTCTTTTATTTTATTTTTAAGGTCTTTAACTTTGATTTTGAAAGGGTAAACTATCCACCAAAAGGTAAACACACCATAAAATATGTAAAAATTATAATGTTTATATGTATATTATTGTATATTCTACATAAAGAAAAGCATGAATATATATTTTTTTGTTTCTTTGTGTGAAGAAATTACTGCTCGTGGTATCTTTGAAATAAGAAGGTGGTTTACAGAACGTAAGTTTTATTAAAGCAGAAATTTTAGCAACATAGTTACTTTCAACATAGATTTAATCATCTTTCTTCTGAAGGTTCTTGCACTTTTTTTTGAATTTTAGAACGGTTAGACACTTTGTGATTTAAAAACTTGAAAAACATGTTTATTTCAAACTTTAACAACAAAACTATGATAAAAGCCTTTTCTTTTTGGGCATTACCTTAGTGAGAAGCTTCCATTATTCATAAAACTGTTAACCAATTTTATATCTTAAAAAAATCTCTTTTTCTCCATTACCAGATTTGCATTTGCATATGCATATGTTAAGATTTCATTTTTACATGCATTAGCATATGTTAAGATTTTCCACAATATTTGTGTGAAATATTATATATATATATATATATATATATATATATATATATATATATATATATATATATATATATATATATATATATATATATATATATATATATATATATATATATATATATATATGTATATATATATATACACACACACACTCACTCACACACTATTCTATATATGATTAATTCCCTTATATAGAATAAAAAAAGTTTGGAAGTCTAATCTCAATAAATTATTTTTTTAACTATTTAAGAAGACTTTTGAGCAAAAAAGTTATTAAAAAAATTATTTTATCACACCATAGCATTGTTTTAAAGTTGTAAGAGTTATGTAAAGAATTTTTGACGTTTTTATATAGTCCTGTTGTGAAGCGTTGAAAAAAGTTTCTGTGCTGCATTTTTAAGAAACTTTTACTTTTAAGTTTAACTTAAAAACAAAATTAATTGTAGAATATTATTTATAAAAACGCACCCCAACCATGTATGAAAAAAGAATATATTTATAAAATAATGCGTTACGACCGTCACAAAAAAAAGTTGAGAAGTTTTTTCTAGGCTTTGTATCAGACTTTATAAAACTAAAAATATAGTAAAAGTAAAGATACTGATATTAGTTTTAATTTTTTTTTAATTTTTATTTTTTATTTTAATTTTTTTAAAAAAAAGAGCTTTCGATAGTTAGTATTAAGATGTAACAAAGTACATTACGACCATCACGCTATGTTTGTTTTTCCATAACAGCTTTTTGACTTTTGAATAAAAAGTTTAAGTGCGAACAATTTTAATACTGACGATTTTATTAAAAAAACTCAGCATATTATAACATCAATATGGGCTAAATACGCACACCAAATGATTATTTTTTTTACCGTGTTGTTTGCTACAATTAGTCTGACAAAGTTGTTTTGTTCCAAAATGGTAAAAAGTAGGCGTTACGACCGTTGTGCAATGCAGAGTTAATTTTCGAAAAAAAAGTTTAAGACCAATACTGTAACTTTTGCATATTAATTTATGTAATAGTATTCCATATTTCTGGGAAGTTTCAAGTCATTTCCATTTTTGGTTCATTTTTAATAGCTTAAAGAACGTCAAATTTTATGACCGCCACTCTCGCGGATTTGCCCAACTAAAAGGCATATAAAATCAATATTTTAAAACTGTATTATAATACATAAGCACTGGATATTGTAGTTGGTTCTTTTTTAATAAACATAAAAAAACTTGTTGTGAATTCAATAGTGACAGAATTTTATGCTATGCTAAGTTGTTGATTGGTTCTTTTCTGTTAAATGTCATCCAGTTGGGTATATTTTGCTGCAATAATTGGAGATATTTTGCTGTAATGTTAACTTAATTAACTTTTTCTTTCACTGTTGTGTTTTATAGTATTTGTATACAGAAAGGTAATAGAAACATTGTTTGTGTTAAATATTGTAACATTTATAAAATAATTGTTATTTGAATTATTTTGTCCTTATATTGAAGTTTAAAGAAAAGTTTATATTATGTTTTGATTGAACAAAACAAGTAAAAAAGCATAGCTGAGTGTGGAAAAATAAGATGTTGTTGTGGCATTACACAAAGAAGATTATTTAACATGGAAAATTGCTTCAAAAACCAATGTTTTAAAAATGAAATCATGAGAGTGTTGCAAAGAAAGTGTGAAACTGGCTGTAATCATAGTCATTGTTCAGAAAGGCTCAGAGCAATGCTGAATCACTACAAAGACAAATTTATCTATATTTAATTTAAAAAAATTAGTAGTAAATTTTTTTTAGTTTGAACACAGATAAATTTCAGAACTTGATACTGCTCCTGAAAGTTGCCTTAAGCCTAATCCCTAGTGGAAACACCAGAATCTGTTTTAACTGTAAAATGATGTTGTAATTACGGCCTGAAAGGATGTGTTGCTGCAAAAAAACCACTACGCAAAGTAAAGAAAGTTAAAAGAATCAAACAAAAATACATAAAGATTGGATAATTCAACATAATGGTCTCGAATCTTGTTTGGTCAAATTGTGGGTCTGGGTTTGTATTTCCTCAGGACAACGGCCCTATACTTCTAAATTCTGCCAAACATATATTGCATCCAAAGAAAAACAAAAAGAACTAAAAATTAAAAAATGGCCTCCTCAGTTGCCTGATTTAAACCTGATAGATTTTGATGCAGGAAAAGTAGATAAAAAGTAGATGTGATAAAAGTACAATCAACCAATTAAAAACACCTTTGAGTATTCATACAAATGTGTTGGAATCAAATATCAACTGAATCATTGCAGAAATTGATTGTAATAATTCATAGAGCGAATAGGATACTTTAAAGAATCATAGTTATCTTTGCAAAGGAACTGAAATACCCAAAGTATACATATAATGTATACTTTGGTTATTTCAGTTCCTTTGCAAATGCTAATTCAAATAAATTAAAAACAATGAGTTAAATAATTTACTTAAATTAAAAAAAAATTAAAAGAAAATGGCAAAATGAATTTTTTTTTATTTTTATTTTAAACAAATGAAATTAAAACAAAAACGATTAAACAAATATTTTTTTTAGTTTCTGAATAAAATAATAAAAATAAAAATGGCAAAATAAAAATATTTTAATTCTAAATAAAATAATTAAAACAAAAATGAAAAAACAAACTTTTAAATTAAACTTTAAATGAAATAATAATAAAAAAAACCTGGAAAAATTACATTTTGTTCAAATTCTTAATAAAATGATTAAAATAAAAAACAGCAAAACAAAGGTTTCATTATATTCTAAATAAAATAATTAAAATGAAATCCGCAATACTAGTGTTTTATGTAAATTCGTAATAAAATAACTAAAATAAAAAATGAGCATTTAAATTAAATTATAAATAAGATCATACCAAAAAAAAAACAGACAAAACTAACGTTTTATTGAAACTCCTAATAAAATAATAAAAGTAAAATTGACTAAACTAAATGTTTTTTATTTAAATTCATAATAAAAATGTAAAATTCATTATTCAAAAGCAAAGGTTTGCATTTAGAAGAAAAGACTGCTAACTTGGCATTTTTTCTTTCAACATTATGCTAAATGTTTGCACATTCGTCGATTTGTTGAACCCTGTTTCTAAATTTTGTATATGCCTAAAACAGTTTTAGGTTGGCATTTTTTGCCAACCTTAATTTTTCCTATTTCTGAGGGCTGATATATATAATAAACATATATATATATATATATATATATATATATATATATATATATATATATATATATATATATATATATATATATATATATATATATATATATATAAATATATATATATATATATATATATATATATATATATATATATATATATATATATATATATATATATATATATATATATATATATATATATATATATATTCAAAAAAATAAGAAAAAACGCAAAGAAAAATTAAAGAAAAAATTGCTTCTTCGTGCCAAACCCTCAGTCAATGTAGCGGCATTCTTTTGTGGCAGCAGACTATAAGATAGTTGATGTATGTACTGAAGCCCCTGGCAACAAGCTATTTTAGTGTGACGTCAGAGATGTTATCTTAACACTCATTTATGGTTTTATATTTTAATGTCATTTTTTGTCCAAAGTTTCTATTCAGCATGAAATAAGTAATTATCTTTATAAATAAGACAAATTTTTAAAAATTTTCCTTTAAAGCCATATTTAATAAAATTGAAACATGTTTTGACTTTAAGTCATCTTCAGTTGAAATGATATTTAAAATTTATACTATATTAGGGGTAATCATAAATAGCATTACACAATTTTTGAACTATTTTACCTTCCTCTGTAAAATAAATCAAAAGATTAAATAATTTATTTAAACTATGAAAAGAATATTTCAAACTTCCCTACATTGGAAAATTATCGGGCTTAACTAAAAAGAGATTGAGTCATATTGTTGAAAGAAATTGTAAACTAGTTTCCATAAAGTTAGTTTTCACTTCATTTAAAATTTCCAACACATTTTCATCTAAAGATCCAATCCAAATCAGCCCTCAGAATTAGGGTTGGCATTCAGCAATGTTAACCTAACTGCTGATCTTAAAGTGTTTGAGGTTGGCAAAAAATCTCTGACCTTGATTTTATGTTTTATGGTTTTTTTTATATTTTCCCTTTTGTGAAAATTTTTTTTTGCCGAGCTCTAACAGTTCTTATTTTTTCTAATTCCAAATATATATATATATATATATATATATATATATATATATATATATATAATTCCAAATATATATATATATATATATATATATATATATATATATATATCTATATATATATATATATATATATATATATGTAAATATATATATATATACATATATATATATATATATATATATATATATATATATATATATATATATATATATATATATATATATATATATATATATATATAAATACTTTTAATACACTTATATTGTGTAATTTCCTATTTTGTAAAGTTAAAGGAGATCAATATGATTTTGAAGTTTGTGATGGATACAACTTGAATGAATCTTTTGCTAATTCATCTATAAATTGTAAGAATACATTTACACAGTAAATTTTTACTTTTGTAGTTTTAAAGTTATCTTATTTAAAATATAATTTCAAAGTTTTTTTTCAACTCTAAGAAACCAAATGACTTTGTACTTATGTATGGGTGTGTATGTATGTATGTATGTATGTATGTATGTATGTATGTATGTATGTATGTATGTATGTATGTATGTATGTATGTATGTATGTATGTATGTATGTAAGAATGTATTTATGTATGTATGTATGTATGTATGTATGTATGTATGTATGTATGTATGTAATAATTTATGTATGTATTTATGTATGTATGGGTTTATGTATTTTTATTTATGTATGCATGTTAGTATGTTTATTATAATCATTTTGGAATTTAAGATTCACCATCTAAGCGTAATACATTGCCTACAATAAGTCATCAAGAAGATCAGTTTGAGGTAACTTTAAAATTTTAAGTTATTTTAATATTTATAACTGTTATAAAAGTTATTTTTGTTTGTAGTTGTGAAAATATGATCATAGTATGATTGATTGATATTTAATAATGACTAATTATTCAGGAATTTATTAGACAGCGTGAACTTAATAGAGAAATGCATTCAAAAGGGTTGCTACTGAAAGAAAAAGAAACTGCTGATAAGCAATCAGCTCTTGCTATGTCAGTTTTAGATACACAAGACACGCGTCATAAAGAGTTGGTTGAAGTAGCAAAGGTTTTTTATTATATATATATATATATATATATATATATATATATATATATATATATATATATATATATATATATATATATATATATATATATATATATATATATATATATATATATATATATATATATATATATATATACTTTTGAAATAAAGTGTAAGCTCAGGTGTTCTGTAGTTAAGATATCTTTTTTTTATTAAATATAAAAAAAAACACAATTAAAAATATTTTAAAAAAAGTTGAATTAAGTGTAAGTATGAAGTAAAGTTATGGCTACACGATTACATTTGATTTTAAGTTTTAAATTTTTTTATATTTATAAATTTTTCAAAATGAAAGTTCAAATAGACCTTAACAATATTTCAGGGTGAAATGAGCAATAATCAGGTTTTGATGAAAAACTTAGAGAATGAGGAACAACGCCACAAAAAAATGGTTCAGCTTCTCCAAAATGGTATTTTTTCATAAGTTATTTTTTTTTTATCTTTAAATATTTAATATATTAAAACTTAAATATTATTCAATAAGTTAAAATATTGTTATTTTTAAACAATTGAAAATTATCATCTGATATGCAGATAATGAATAATATAGTTGTTTATTTTGTTTATTGTTCAACTTTTTTGTTAAAAATTTTGTTTAAATTTTTTTTTATAGAAGAAATATCAAGTACTTTAGATTTAATTACAAAAATTTCAGAAAGGTATTTAACTTATTTTTTTTTTTTTTTTTAATTTTTTGAATATATAAATTCTAAACCTTTAGAGCATAAACATTAATTTTAATTAGAAAAATTGCAATTAAGAAATAAAAGGTGTAATTGAGAACATGAATGTTATAATTAAAAAATGTAACATGTAATTGCAAATGTGTCATATTTAACTGTTAAACCCAAGAGACATTATTAAACTCAAAAGATGTAATCGAAAAATAAATAGTTTAAATATGAGCTGTGTATCTCAGCAGACATCTACTTTCATACTCACACTGACACACACACTAATTAAAAAATAAAACAGTAGATTGAAAAAGTCATGTTTGTGGTATTTGTCTTTGTAGCAGTAACTAAAAAAAATTTGTTAGGGTATACTGTAAAAAAACAGAAAATCTTTAGGGTAGTTTTTGTTCAACAGATGACTTAGAGGCTACGCAATAAATAATAAATAAAGTATAAATTATAATAAATGTTATAAAAAAGTATAAATTATTTATAAAAAATTATGAGACTAAAATCAAGTTTTATCATTAAAAATCACTGAAATGTTCAGTTAAATGCCAACTTAGATTTCTTTCATATTATAAATTGCTGCATTATGATTATCATGTGCACAGAGAGTTGTTCTTCTTATTATTATCTCATTAATGTATTTTTTTGCTGCTGAAACCATGTTTTTAAAATATTGCATCTGTTGTTCTGCAATCCTAGCACTAAATGCAGGTGGAATGCAATTTGCATTTTTATCTTTAATTTTAATTTTTTGATCAGATTACAATTTTTGATCAGATTACCACCATTTAATATTGGGATGTAGGGTCCTAATCATAACAACTAAGCTGGTAACTTTATAAACACACTTTCCAAATAAGCATGTCAAGTAGCATTGCCTGCTACCATAACTAAGTTCTTTAAATGATTTTTAGATGTAGCCCAACTGGTTAATCATAGTCAACATTCACTTGTTACAAGAATCTGCATTAAATGATTAAATGATTCTCTGGAAGTTTGCAACATGACAACATTTATTGTTGATAAAGCTGAAATTAAATGTAGTTTCGAACCTTTTAAAGCAACTGTTCTCATTAGCGCTTTGTTTTTTTAACAAAAAAGATTTAAATTTTTTTTATCCAATGATTGGTGATATGTTTGATAATGGTTGTTGTGCTGACACATAAAATTGTCTAATTTGTCTATATATATATGTATATATATATATATATATATATATATATATATATATATATATATATATATATATATATATATATATATATATATGCGGTAGTGGTGTAGTGGTAGAGCGCTCACTTTAAAAGCAAGAGGTTCCGAGTTCAATCCTCATCACATCCTTGGTAGTACCGCGCTCAACGTGTTTCGGAGTTATAGAGTTGAGAGAGGGTTATAACCACAAATAAGTAGCCTCCTCATCTGCAGTGGTCTTCTCAGCCTTGAGGAGATGAATTAACAAATATATATATATATATATATATATATATATATATATATATATATATATCAGGCTTGGTTGGGAAACAGGTGCGATCGCACTCGATAACTGACCACGGAAATAATATTTAGATGCAAAAAAACGGCCAGATTTTTTAGTCGTTTTGAGAACCTTTAAATTTAAATATGTTTCCTTGTTTGTCTGCAAATAATAATTAAGTTCATTATTTTATCATAAATTTTAAAATATTTTGTTTTATGGACTTACATGGAAACATACATAAACTCAAATGTTCTTAAACATCTTTGTGCAGAAAATTAAAAAAAGAAATTTGCGAACACAAAAAACCCGCCAAATCTACAAACAACTAATTCTATTGGTTCAAAAAATACTAGCGGCAATGTTTAGAGTATTCAAAAAATACTAACCGAATGTACTAGAGTATTCTGTTGAACTATTTTTAAAAATTGTATTATTTGAGTTTTCTTATGATTTCGTTGAGATTTCTAGCATAAATTGTTTTAAGAATATAGTATCAAACAAACTATTATTTTAATACTATGGCTCATTCTTGGAGCCACATCTACAAAGCTATAAATGTTTTAAACATTTTTTGTTAATAATATATTTTAAATATAATTTTTATTTTTAAATAAATATTTTAAATTTATATTTTTTAACTTGTCAACGTTTTGTAAATATATTATAGATTTTATTAGTATAATCTTATTTTTTATATATAAAGCATTATGTATTTTTTATGTATGTAATTTGTTTTTATGTATGTAATTTATTTTTATGTATGTAATTTTATGTATGTGTGTTTTATTCAAATGTAACCTTTTAAAGCAATTTGTGCGATTGATTTTGTAAACAAAAATACTTTCAATAATAACTGCGTATCAATCAAATTATTAATAATCATAAAAGTTAATACAAATAATTTTAACCACTAATCCATTTTCCTCAGTGTACCCAATAACTAATTCTTTCCCCCGAGAAAGAAAGGTGTTAAAGTTTTCAGAAATTGGTTTACTTTTAAATACATTTAATTATTTTTGCTTCAGGCATTCTTACAACCTTAATTATACTTAAACTTAAAGTTACTTTTTTCTGTTTTAAATACTAATTAAAATTATAAATCCCACTCACTAAACATCATCAGCGGTATTCTCCTCACAAAGGAGTTTAACGTTTTTTAGTTAATTTCTATCTAACTAATTGAATTTCTACAGTAACTCAATGATTTAATTATTTCATTTGTTTATCTTACTAAAAAGAATTGTTTCAAATGTGTTAAACTTTTTAAACTACGCGTAGCATTAAACAGTTATTGATAAAAAAATTTTATTTATAAATAAATCATCTAGCGTTAGTTTTATTGGTTGAATCTTGTTGGACATTTCAGGGCCGGGGGCTGCATTATTTTGGTGGCCTTTTTTATGTCCCACAGCATAAAAATGACTAAAAATAATACAGAATGGTCCTCTTGACTATTTTGCGGCCCCTAACATTGTGAATCCCGAGCCCTTCTAGCCCCCCCCCCTACACAAACACATACACACACACATACACACACCTACATAATCCAGCACTGGAAATAAGACATAAGTATATAAGTAAAAATTATTTATACTCTTTAATAAATCGAAGAACATTTGTTTCCTTAATAAAAAACCATTAATAGTAAGTTGTAACTTTATATAAAAAATGCTGTTTAATTTTATAAAAAATATTATAAAAGAGCGACGTTTCAAAAATAATTGCTTTAATCATATTTATTTTGATTAAAGTTTTTTTGCGTTAAAAGCTATTTTTAACGCAAAAAAAACTTTAATCAAAATAAATACAAAATTTGTTGACTCCGACTCCAGTTGTTGAAATTTTTTGAATACAACTCCAACTCCGACTCCAGTTGTTTAAATTTTTTGAGCACAACTCCAACTCTGACTCCGACTCCAACTCCAACTCCAAAGCAAATTTTGATAAATTTATGAAACGTTCTTTGAGGTTTAGTATGAAAATAAGGTTAGTTGAATGTTTTGTACATCCACGTGCAATACCGAGAATTTTTACTAATGGAGTCGGAGTTGCGATTTTGTTTAGCAACTCCGACTCCGTTAAAAATGTTGCAACTCCGCAACTCCGACTCCACAGCCCTATTATTATAATATAATATGTAAGATATTTTAAGCTTTAATTTATTGGATTTTGCTCAAATTTCACTAAAACTAAAATTGATAAAATTATTAAAAAGTATTGTAAAAATGTAATAATCAAATTTATATTCACAACCGATAAATTAAAAAACAGTTTTTGCATAAAAGATCCACTTCCTAAGATGCTTAAATCTAACGTTGTCTACCAATTTTCTTGTGCTGGCTGTAACGCCAGTTATATTGGAGAAACCTCCAGACATTTGATAACAAGGATAAATGAGCATCTTACGAGTGACAAGCAATCGCATATTTTTAAACATTTAAATTCATCCATTAATTATAAAACACTAATTATGATTGCTTTCAGATTTTGGATACTGCCTCTACCATTAACAAATTTAAAATAAAAGAAGCACTTCATATTAAATGAGAAAATCCTTCTTTAAATAAACAAACATCTCATTATATTTAAATTTATTTACCAGAGTTTTAATTGTAAATTAAATTTTTTGAAAATGTAGTAAGACTACGAAACATGTCAAGAATAAAAAATATTGTGATTTTTATTAAAATTTTTACAAATTTATTGCTAATGCAATGTTCGAAGAATATATATATATATATATATATATATATATATATATATATATGTATATATATATAAATTAATATTTATATATGTATATATATATAAATTCAGTTTTCTTTGTTTTGATAACCGCCAATTCAAATATTCAAAGAAATAAAGTGTAATGTCATTAAACATGCTCTGTTGCATGTTGACAGATTGGAAAAATAGAATTTGGTTGTTCCATCACTAGATGTAAACAAAATTTTTGAAATAAATGTTACAACAGGTTTTGTATGACAATTTTGGATCATAACGAGTTAACCAATGATCTTTGAATTCCATAATTAATTACTGCTGGTGGAAAAAAATAAAGTAAACTACAAACTTGCGTAATTACACTTAACTAATTCTCATTACCTATTACAAAATCATAATTGAATGTTACAAATTTACAGTTACCTTTTACAAATTCACATATTATAATTACAATTTATTTTAAAAAAATTTGCAATTACATATTATAAATTTGAAGTTTTTTATTATTTTAAATTTACATTTACATATAATGTTTTTCAATTACACATTATGTTTCTCAATTACATATTTTGGTTTTATAACTACAACTTTCATGTTTTCAATTACATCTAGTAGTTTTGCAAGGTTTAATAAGTTATGATAAATGCAATTTAATTAGAAGACTGCATATCATTATCTGTATTGAAAATGCAACTGTTTTTGGTTATAAAGATAATAAAACTTTTTGGTTGTAGAGATAGAAAAACTGATGCTTTGCTTGAAGACCTTGATAGGGAGCAGTAAGTATTAAATTTTTATTTTAGATTGTCAGGTATTTAATGTCTCTAGTTATTTCTGTTTAAGTAGGTGAACAATAGATGTGAAATTGGATTTGTTGATTTTTCATCTGTTTTTTACAAATTTAAAGTTCCTTTCATAATGCCTCAATAAATGGTTTTGCAGTTTTTTTTGCTTTACAATACATGCTTTTACAGTTCTTTTTGCTTTGCAAGGCACTTTGCTAACTCACTGCAAAATATTTGAATTGAGACATTGAATCAAAGAATATGTTCTTTGCAAATATTTCTGTTTTTTCCTTAGAAAGATTTATTAGATGTGACTCATGAAATAGATGGAATACAATATTTTTTATCTTGGACATTTGTATAATTAGAAACATTTTTTTGCTTCTGTCATGGTAATGATAAGTTTAAAATTCTAGGTATCGCATTGACAGCCTTGTAAAAAATGAGGAAAGCAAGTACTTACGAAAGGAAGAAATAATTAGTAAGTTTGTTGTTTTTGTTGTTGTTGTTGCTGTTAGAAACTTTTTTTGTGTTTTGAAAGATTATTAGAAAATTTAATAGATCTATATTATTTTATTTGTTATATATTATTATTATTATTATTATATATATATATATATATATATATATATATATATATATATATATATATATATATATATATATATAATATATATATATATATATGTATATATATAGTTTTATATATATATAGTTTTATATATATATAGTTATATATATATATATATATATATATATATTATTTTTTAATATATTATTCTTTCAATTATAAATTAAAGTCAAACTTCATAATTGATTTGGGTTTAATCTTTAGAACAAATTTTTTATATTCCTAAAAACTACTTTCTAATTTAAACTGAATGCGCTATTTAATTATTATCAAGTAAATAATATTTTATATACTTGATTATATTTTTAATAAATATATATAAAATTGTATTAATCAGGGATTATCTTTTTCCGGATATTTCCGGAATTCCGGAAATTTTTTTCAACATAATTTTTCCGGATATTCAAAACATTTTTAATAAATGCAAGTTGAGGTATATATTTTTGTAATATATTTGTTTTTAAGCTTTTTCACTCATCACTCATGGAAAAATTATGAAAAGTATTTTATAAAAATTAGCATCAACTTGGCTAAAAGCGAAGTTAAAAAGAAAATAAGGGAAACAAATTCCGGATTTTTTCTGGATAATTTATCCAAACAATTTTCCGGATATTTAAAATATGGCTAGGATAACCTATGATTAATATAATACATATTAATGTAAGTATATATATACTTATACAAATATAATATATAAATAACTTATATACTGATGTATATTTTAAGAAATGCGTTGTGAAACTAGTGACCTAACACATTTTTTCTTTCGTTGTTTGCATGCTTCTAAAAGTTTCAATTCAAAGTTATATAACAAATATATTTGCTAAACATTTTTTTTATTGAAACTTTTTTTTTTTAAATTTTAAGTTGCATTTAGCTTATTATTTTTTAATAAATAGGCTTTAATATTAGCCTAACTGATTCAAAAATACCAGTGAAAGTGTTTAGTTTATTAACTTATATTTGACAAATATTTATAATCCAATGTTTTGATGTTTTTGAATTTTAATTATAATAGTCATTATTTAATTAAATGTGATCGAACCTGTACGAAATCGAAGTTTTATGTGAAGTTTTAGTTTGATAAACTTTTTACGCTAGATATTTATAAGATATTTATAAATATTACGCTAGATATTTATAAATATTAGGCAAGATATTTAATTTTTTAACATTTAAGTTTGGAATTTTCAAGTGTTGCAAGTTTTGATATTTTATTACATGGATTTTTATGCAATTCAAAGTAAAAGCTCTAGTTAAGCGAAGTTTTTTTGTCAAATGGACCCTAAAAAACTATACAAGTTAGCAAATGGTTCGACTTAACCAGGGTACGATTAAGCAGATAACATGATAAAGCTCATCTGGAATTTTATGAAAAAAACAACACTGGATTTAGCTTTTAAATAGAAGAAATAAATCATTTTTAATTTCAACTTATATTGCATAAATTAAATTTGAATATAACTTCTTTATTTAACTATATGTAAACTTTACTGTTTAAACATATTTTGACTTAAACAGACAAGACAACAAACAGATAGTAAAAAAAGTTTTGATAAAAATATTTTATATAAAATCAACTTATAATTTCCTCCCTCGCAAGTTGTTCAGGTGAGCGCAATTTTTTACTCTTGTAACGACACTAGCGAGCGCTATTTGTTGCGTCTGGAAGGTTGTTTATGGGCGTATTTCACATGCGCAGAACGATTGCTCCCACTTCATTACAAGGCCTCTATATATACACAAACATATATATATATATATATACATGTGTGTGTGTGTGTGGTGGGTGGGTGGGTGGGTGGGTGGGTGTGTGTGTGTGTGTGTGTGTATATATATATATATATATATATATATATATATATATATATATATATATATTTATATATATTTATATATATATATTTAAATATATATATATATTTAAATATATATATATATTTAAATATATATATATATATTTAAATATATATATATATTTAAATATATATATATATTTAAATATATATATATATTTAAATATATATATATATTTAAATATATATATATAAAATATATACACACATGTATATACAGTGATACACACAGTGATTTTGGTCGGTCGTTCAGAAGGCAACTGTTGTTCATTATCATAAAATAAAAAAAAGTTTTAGTTATGTCTTAAACAAGTTTTTTAAAGTGTGTGTTTTCACTTCGAATAAAATTCTATTTTCATATTTGATGAATATAAAATTATAAAAAATGCTATTATTCTTGTTAACAATTAATCTTTTTAAATTTTTTTCTTGGTATTTTTATTTCCATCACGTTTTATGTAATTAAACTTTAAATGAATGAGAATCGCAACTTTAATGACTTTTAAAAACAGTTTTTTTTTTAATATTTTAACTAGCGTTTTAAACATCTTCATATTTTTATTGAGCTTTCTCAATTACATATTTTGGTTAATTATGGAAAATAGCTTTTAATCAAAGTTTTTTTGAAGTTATTCTTTAAAATAAAAATTTATCATTATATTCAAATTATTTTTAATAATATAACAATGGAATCTTTACTATTATAGAGCTTATAACAAAACTTTATTTGTATATTCAAATTTTTATTATATTATTTCAACAAAACATATTTAACAAACGTTTTAATGAAATTAAATTAAAAAAAGTTTATGATTCAATTAAAAGCGTTTGATAAATAATTGTTTTAACATAAGAAATTTTTATAGTTTAATTTTGTAAAAACGTTTGCTTATTATTAGCAGTTATGATTTCAAAACTTTCATTCGTTCTTTATAAAAATCAAAAACCGGTCTAATTTAAATAGAATGATGTAATAAAAAAGAAGGAAAATAAACTTCAACAATCAGGCTTTAAAAATGTTGCTTTATTGTTACATTAGATTAAAAAGTAAATATCAAAGGCGATTTTGTTGATAAAAATTAATAGTCTTTCGAAAACAAAAGAACAAATTTACCTTAAGTGGAAAAAAATTTGCTAAATGTAGAAATGCAAACTGCAGCAAGAAAACCAATTTAAATAATGAGTAATTTAAATAATAAGTTAAAAAATTAACCAATTTATAAAGTCGCCAGGCCAGGCAACTCAATTGCATCAAAACACTATTTCCAGTAGCCCTTCGAAAGATTCAGGTGGCATTTTCCATCGAACAGTCATAAGTGTACATAACTGATTTATATATATATATGTGTATATATATATATATATATATATATAAATATATATATATATATATATATATATATATATATATATATATATATATATATATATATATATATATATATATACTTATATATATACATATATATATATATATATATATATACATATATATATATATATATATATATATATATATATATATATATATATATATATATATATATGTATGTATGTATGTATATATATATATATATGTATATATATATATATATATATATATATATATATATATATATATATATATATATATATATATATATATATATATATGTATAAATATACACATGTATATATATATACAACCCTTGGAATTAGAGTCAGCATTGCCAAATGCCAACCTAACTGCTGATCTAAAAGTATTCGAGGTTGGCAAAAAAAATTGTCGACCTCATTTCTATGTTTTATGGTAACCACTTTGATTCAAATTTTTTTTACCAACCTCTAACAGTTTGAGGTTGGCAATTTATTGCCAACCTCATTTTTCCTTATTCCTAGCATTGTATATATATATATATATATATATATATATATATATATATATATATATATATATATATATATATATATATTATATATATATATATATATATATATATATATATATATATATATATATATATATATATATAGCACAATTTTCATAATAAGTCTAATAAATAAAACAATTTTTTTCAGTTTCAATAAAAAAATCAGGAATAAGAGCTCGTTTTTCTTCCATCACCTGGAACAGTTCTTGTTTCTCATCCACAAATTTTGAAAATTGGTCATTATGTTAATATTGGTCATAACATTAAAGTAAAATTGGCATCATTAGTGATCATATCTTTATTATTACTTTTTTAAAGTCAGGTTTGGAATAAGAACATACCAGATATTTTTTCCAAAACCAATTCCAAACCAGATTTTTTATTTTTTTAAAAGAAATTTACTTTTTGAGATCAAAAAACAAAAACAAAAAATTGTTTTAAGTTTTATATTTTTATAATTATATTAGTATTGTAAATTTTATAAACTTAATAAAAAACCTGTTTATTAAGGTCAGATTTTTACCACATAATGTGTAACGCTTCTTTGGTTTCTAAGTGATGCGAAGTTTAGGCGTAGTCTAATACTGAAAAAGTAGTCTAATACTGAAAAAGCCTTCCGTTAATCCAATATACACTTTGTTGGGCTGATTTTTAGCTGCGATGATTAACGGAAGGCGAGTGGAAAAACAGATACAACAATCACAAATCATCATTCAATAATGTTAATTACAAAAGTCCACCGCCTTATCAAACTATGTCTAAGATTTGAAAAACAATTTTAACGAAACCCCAATATTTACATGGTCTATTCTGAAATCTGTACCCCCCTACTCAAATATTTCCAAAAGGTGCCCACTATGTCTATACAAGAAATTCGCAATTATATCCTATCCTAAACCTGATGAACTCCTAAATAAGCGAAACGAAATCATATCAAAGTGACGCCACGAAAACAAGTTTTTGTTAAAAACTACAAAACTCGCATCAAACATAACTAACCACTAACATTAACTATGCAACCCTATTTTGTACACCTCTAAGCTAACCAATAAATTATTCACATACACAGCTTTTGTAATATATTTCGTAATATAATTTATATTCTTATACCCACTTTTGAAACTTATTTTTATATTCATTTAATTTTAATACAATAATTTTTTAAAAACAATTCACATTATTATTAAATAGTATTTTTATAACAAACATTAAAACATACAACAACTTCACATATATTAACCAAAAACAAATTAATAATAACATTAACCTTAACTACTAAACAATTTCCGTCCCATAACGATCTAAAATACTAATATAAACCGTAAATTATTTCTAAACACATTGTAGCAAAATTAACTTTTGACTACTTGCCTGATGATTGTGGTAACACATGAAACTTTAAGTCGCAATATAATATTATAAATATTAGCATTTAGCTAATTCCTGATACTGCGGGTAACAGTAATATATATACTATATATATATATATATATATATATATATATATATATATATATATATATATATATATATATATATATATATATATATATATATATATATATATATATATATATGTATATGTTTATATATGTATACATATTTACAGTATTTTATATACATATATATTTTTTGAATGTTGAAGTAGCATAAAATAAGTAAATATTTTTTCAAATATTTAAAATCTTGACATGTTTTGTATTTCCATATTACCAATTTTATTATTGTAAAATTAATCTTAATGTCAAGATTTATAAATATCATGTTATTTTTAAAAATATATATATATATTTATATGTGAGTATTATTATTCTATATATGTAATTGTTATAAATTAAATAAATAATTAACATTAATATTTCAGAAAAAATGTCTGCAGTATTGCAGGAAATGACTGATTCAGAAAATAAATGGAACCAGTTTGAATATTCCAGAGAAGACGAATGGAAAAAATCCTTGAAATTGTAACTTTTTTATAATTTGTGATGGTTTTGTATTGTGGTTAACCCCATATAAATTCATATGATTTTTTAAACTGTTCTACAATACCAAAATTATATTGATGTTATTTGGTATATTGCATATAATTTTGGATATTAAAGACAACTTAATTGTTTTTGATATTGTAGAACTACTAAAAATTTCTAATATATCATAAAAGATAACCAGGACAAAATTCAATGGACCAATGTCTGCTAAACATTCTTTTTTTAAAAATATAATTTGTACTGTTTTCTAATTAAACTGTTTATTCTTTCTAATTAATATGTGTAATAAATACATTAGTCATTGCAACATGTTTATCTTATTTTATCTATTTATGTATTCTGTCCATTTATGGAATCACTCTTAAAAACATATAAATCAAAAGTTACAAATAAAACTTGAAATCATTTTACAAGTTTAAGTCACTGAATAAAAAATCATATTTTACAAAGTACTGTGGCATGGATTTGAGACATGACATTTCTGTAACTACTGATTGCAATTAAAACAGTTTGTTGAGTTGTCCTGTTCTTTTTATTTTACAATAACTTTTTTTAAATAATTTTTAAATTTTATAAACATTAAAAAAAAATATTTTTCACTAATAAGCGTTGTAGAGAACAGCCCTGATGTAGACAGTGTTCTGGAAGAAAAAGATCGCACTCACCAAAAGTTAATTATGTCTCTTCTTAGTGAAGTAATTTAATTTTTTATAAAGTTATCTAGATTTTTAAATAGTTCAGTACATTAGTATTTACATGTTTTTTTGCAGCAAGAAAACCAAATGAAAGCATTCGAAATACTCCAATCACAAAAAGATGCAATGTTGAACAGAATACACATGCAAGTAATTTGTTTGAAAAGCCTTTTGATTAAAGTTATTTTTGAAATAACTTAAATTTTTTTTTTTGTTTCAAACTTTTGTTACATAGTTAGCAATGGTCCAAAATGAATTGGCGAGGTTATCAATGTTGGAACTAAGTAAGAGGGAAGAACAAAACAAGAACGAAACGGTAATAAAAAAGTATTATACAAAAAAATTTGTTGTATTATATTTTAGTTAAATTAAATATTATTTTTATTATTTTGGTTTATAGATAAAAATAAAAACAAATACAGAGAGTAATATTTAAAAAAATAAGTGTAAAACCTGATATATGTGTATATATATATATATATATACATATATGTATAATCATATCTACTATAGCATATTTATATGCGCAATTGCTCACTTTTTTTGCTAGCCTAATTTAAGTGAGCGTTTTTAGAAAACGATGAGGGAAAACGAAGAATAATGAATAAAAAGGTTGCTGATCCATACCAAATCCTCAGTCGATGTAGCAGCACTCCACGGCGAAACAGGCTATTTGTCAGTCGAGATATGTACTGAAGCCCCCGGCAGCAGGCTATTTTACATTAGGTGAATATGACATCATCATGCTCACCTAACTCAGCAGTATAAGATATATATATATATATATATATATATATATATATATATATATATATATATATATATATATATATATATATATAATATATATATGTTTGAGTAATTTGTATTCCTAAGTCACGCTCAGAGGTGGTTGCTTTCAATCTAGTTTGAGTCGTTATTGAACAAAGGCCCAATTCCTCCATTGAGTAATCAAAGTGAGTTAAATTTTTTTGACCAAAGCGCATAAAAGCTAAAAAGTGCAATCCTAGCACTTCTTTGCGTTTAGCTCCATGATTCAAGACTTGGTCTGATTGGAGTTGAAGTTGAGCTGCAAGTGAGTTAACAATGCTCAGGATTTTAGTGTCATCAGCAAGGATCTTACATCTGTTTTCTTTGCTTATTACATCTGGCAGATCGTTGATAAAAATGATAAAAAAATTTGTTCCAAGACTGATCCTTGCAAAACCCCACTTGTCACAGGTAACCAATTTGATTGGGTGTCACTAAAGATGACTTGTTAAGACCTGTTGAGTAAAAAAGTTTTTATCCAATTGGGAAGATTCCCTTCAACTCCATACATTTTTAGTTTGTAAAGCATTCATTGATGTGACACTTTATCAAATGCTTTGTTAAAATCCAGGAATATGTTGGCATCAACTGATAGTCTTCTAACATTTTTTTTCTTTAAGAAACCATGTTGACTATTTGATAGAAGATTGTTTGATTTTGCTGCATGATTGCTTACTTAACTATTTTTTCCATTATTTTAAACGGAATTAAGGTGAAGGATGATGGTCTGTAGTTTGATGAGTCAATTTTGGAGCCCTTCTTAAATAAAGGCGTCAAATTTAGTTTTGACCATGAGCCTTGAATTTTACCATTGTCAAATAACTTTTAAAAGATGAGATTAAGTGGAGTAGATATTCAAGTAGAGCAAGTGTGTAAAGTGTGAGGACTGCCATTGTTTACGCCAAGTGATTTGGATATATCAAGTGATGAGAGCTCCATTAGAGTGGCCTGAGTGTCAAATACTATGGTGTTGAGGATTATGTTATCTCTACAATCAAAGTGGGGAAGATTGTCATTGGATAGCTCTTTGCTGAAATCTGTTTGTAATTGATTGTTTAGTGAGTTGGCTATTCTAATTTTGTCAAAGCTAATGATCTCACTGGAACTGGTGATTTGCATAGATAAGATCTGATTTGTTACAGAGAGTTTACTAATTATGTATGAAAACAGTTTTTTAGGGTTGCGCTTATCAATGGCCAGAGCGAATTCGAAAGTTTTAAGTGAAGAAAGAAATAATTTTTTAATAGGCTCTCTAGTTTCTTTATATTCCTGGACCAGGGATGTGATTTTCCATTTTGAACTGGCATTACAAGCCCAGAGGTGTGTTTCACAGGAAGACGTGCGATCGCGCGTCATTATATGACCAAGCAAATCAAATTTTGCTTTGATGGTTTGACCGTGGCTATTTCAAAAAACATTTCACAAATGCACTGAATGAATTTTTAACTAATTTTAATATAATAATCATTAAAGTTAATACATTTAAAAAGATTTTTAAAAATTTGTTGAAAAAAAAAACTGAAGCCTTTGAAAGCTGTTATAATTAAATATGTTTTGATTTTTAATCCTTTTATATTTTTAAAACACTTTTTAATGAATTAACAGACATTTTTAATGTTAAAACAGAATGAAATAGTTTTTTAATTCTTAATTATTTACAAGATTTACATGGAAACTGATATTTTTAAGTTAGTAAAAAAAATACTATAACTTAAATGAAGTTTTTTTTAAATAATCATAAAAAGTAAATTGTTCTTTTTATTCTAACAGCTTCCAATTATATTATATAAACATTAATAAAGATAAAAAAATATTCCGAATGTAATTAAAAACATAATTTAAATAAACTAAGCATTTTAATTTGTTGAGTTTTGTTTTAGTTGGGTTAAATATATATATATATATATATATATATATATATATATATATATATATATATATATATATATATATATATATATATATATATATATATATATATATATATATATATATATTGTGTTTTAGCTTTCTTAAATTTTTTTTTTTTAATTTTCTCTTTTGTTAAGATTTTTTTTTCTTTTTTAAAAATAGTTATTTTTAGATAAGTTTTTTTATTGCATTTTTAAATTAAAAAAAAAGTTTAAAGCTGTGGTCAAATCGTCTAAACAATGTATTTTTTGCGTGGTCATATAATTTTGTGCAATCGCACATCTTCCTATGAAACACTTCAGAGTAATTTTTTAAGACGAATTAGAGATAAGAGTTTTGTTGTCACCCATAGTTGTTTTTTTTTGGATGGTTTGTTTAGTATAAGAAGAATGAAATGAAAACAACATTCATTGTATTTGTTGACAAAGTTCATGTCAACAAACAACATTCATTGTATTTGTTGACATAAAGTTGGTAACATTGTTCTACATTTAAGTCTTTAAAAATAGATGGTCAACTTTATTAAATTTTTCGTTGATTTTTTCATAGTTACCAAGTATGTAAATAAATTTAGAGCTGCTAAATGCAATAGTTTTACTTTAAAAGCCAGTTTGTATTGCCTAGTGATAGAGCAATGAAATTGTTCAGACAAGCCAAGTGGAGGACTGATGTTGATTTCATTAGCATAATATGGAGATTCACATATGATGAGATTAGGAGTGCTTGTCTTTTTTCAAACCTGCAATTAGCAGGTTTGAAAGTTGGAACAGTGAAAACTTGGTGAAGATGACAATCTTGAAAAAAAAAGACAAATAAAAAGGGTAATTCCATATCATATGACCCAGGTCATGTCACCATACATACAGTTGAGAGTGCTTAGTAAAATAAGAATTACTTGAAACTTTTAGCCTCTGGCTCCAAGAAGTAATAAGCGACCGGGGTTGATATTTGATCACGGGCCACGTTTGATAAAATATATCCGGAGCCAGAGCTAAGTTTGTGACCGGAGCTGCATAAACAATTATGCATCCTAAAGTATTTTTTTTATTCGAAATTCATGTTATATTTTGTATATATATGCATATATAAACACCATTATGATTAACATGATCATCATAATCATCATTACTATCATAATCATAATCATCATCATTATCATCATCAGACTTTAGCCTTCCTATTTTATGGTTTTTCTCTAATATAAACCATCTAGAGCATTTTCTTTCCTTAACTAAACATTCATACAATATTTAAGGAATTCTTTTCAAGTTTTCTTATTTCTACCACTACCATTTTCTACAACTGCTATCTCTCTAAATGCTGATACTTAAATCACTTTAATCTTCTGGAACAAACGTTTGTTAAATACAACATTTTATTCTTATTTGTCTAAGACTATGCCTCCTTTTCTTGTCTTGTTAGAGTCACACCACATATCCATCTGATCATCTTCTCTTTCAGCAAATACTACACCATATAAATACTAAAGTTTATATAAATATGAATGGAATAATCTAATAATAATAATATCTAAATAAATAGCAAACATATGTTTAAATCTTGTATCTTATCTCAGATGTAAGGTTCTAGAGACTTTTGGTAAGTCTTCAACAGTGTCATTAACTAATGTATGTCTAATATTTAATCTCTAATTCATGGTTCTGATTTTTTTACCTTCTCCCTTTCTCAACTCTATAATTCCAAAACACAAACCTTGACAAACAAGGCTGCTGCGCGGAGAAACAAGTTGTGCGCGGTACTACCAGAGACGTGGTGGGGATCAAACTCGTAACCTCTTGCTTATGAAACGAGCGCTCTACCACTACACCACTATCGCATCATACCACAAATAGAACAAATAAAAAACAAAAAAACTTTTTGAAAACAATATTTTTAAAGTTACCTTCATTTTATAAAAAATGCAAAAAAAATAATTTTTTTTTTCCATTTTTTTATCAAAAGTGGGGCTCATGACTCAGCCCCCCCAACCCTCCCCCCTCCCCTCCTCCCTCAACTTGGTGTCTTGGACTCTGAAAACAACTTTAACATGCATATATAGAGATGCCAAAAGTTTCAGAGCTCCAGCTTGTATGGAAGGTAGTGAAAAATCAATTGCAATATTCCGTTACAAAAAAGTGGGGACCATGCTCGTTATCCATACAAATACATATATATGCTTGCAGATCAAAATCTTTATATTTTTTGAAAGATCAATGAATATAGAATGATGTGTAATTTTTTTTTTTTGGTATCATCAAGCCCACGTTTTTTGAGCATCAAATTCAGTTATATAAAAAATTGCCTAAATTTATTTAAATTGATAAATACAGGTATTTATAAATAATTTTTTACCTTTCTGATCATTTCATTGAATTCCCCATCCCTAAAAATAGCTAGGTACAAATTTTAAAGTAAAAAAATCAAATATTTTTAAAGTTATGTAACTTGAAACCTCTATATAAACAATGCAATCCTGAGGGGAAAAGAGAGGCCTGGTCAACATCTGTTTAAAGTAAAATGGTTATATTTCATAAATTTCTTGGAGCCAGAGGCTATAATTTTCAAGGAATTTTTATTTTATTAAGTAAGTTCAACTGTGTTAAAATTAACAAAATCTGAGATACAGGGTAACATTTTTAAAAATTTCTGGCTCATTTGACATGAAGTTACCCAAGAACCAAGACCAATGATGGCAATGATGATACGATTGTATTTTTTGGTTGATACTGATACTTTGAGATGTAAAACAGCACTTAAAATCTTTGAGAAGGCTTCGATACTGGAAGATGGAGGTTTGTAATTGCAACCTAGGAGCAAAGTTTTGTTCAAAAGCTTTAGTTTGACCCATAATTGTTTGAATTGTTCGATAATAGTAACAAACGAAATCCTAGTGTAGTAGAGATTCTTCTAGTTGGTTTGAGATTATTTTATTGTTTGTGTATATAGCTGCGCCTCCACCAATATGGATGAGATGGTCTGAACAATAGAGTTTGTAATTTTGGAGGTAAGGAGTTGATTGGTTGTTGAACCATGTCTCAGTGATAAAAATATTGTCAAAAGAGTTGTTTTTTGCAAGTAAGGAGAGTTTGGTGAGTTTTAATGGATTGAGGGAGGTCGCATTAGTGTATTAGCACAAAAGATGAGGTAATTTTATGGAAGAGCTGGCCTTGTTAAAGGGTGCTGAACTAGTAAGATACTGAGAGCAACTAAACAGTCTCAGCCGCTGATTTCCATTTGAGGAATGGGTTTCTCTCTCTTCCATTAATGTTGACTGTTTTGGATGTGTGAATGCATTTGATTTTTTTTGCTGCGGATTGCAAATGATGACTAATTGAAACATAAGGAAAAAAAAGGGTTTGTAAAACAAATTTTTTGCTAATAATTCTGCATTTTCGGTAGCTTTTGTTTATGTTATTGAAAGGCTTCTTGTTTGAGAGGTTTACAGTCTGGACAAATGTAGACAGATTTTAATTTATCTATTGAGGCAACAGTGGAGAACCCAGACGTAACTTAGTACCTTTTTGCTTTCGGTTATAAATTAGACATAACTATAAAAAAAATGAAAGTTGTTACAAAACCTAATTCTTAAACCACGTTGCAAAATGTTATAACAATATAATGTGTAAAAGATTTGCTTTTTTGAAAGTTAAAGCGTTTAATATCCAATCAGCGTGAGGTTAATTTTTGTTTTTGACAATTAACCCTTTTGTGACGCGTGACCTGTATGACAGTTCATAGAATTTGTATCTAAATGACGAGTGACCTGTATGGTGGTGCATAAATAATTTTAAATATTTCAAATCATCTATAGTAATTGAGAAAAACTTTAAAATTAACTTTGAATTGTGAATAATTTCTTTAGTTAATGCTTCAAACCGTTTCTTAATTGCATTTATAGATCGCTCAAAAATCAATTTTAAAAAATTATATTATATTGATTATACAGATTATGTTATATTGATATAAATTAAATCATTCATAATTTTTTCAATGATAGTGGTGAATATTTTTTTTGTTTCATTAATTTTCATTAATTTAATATCAAAAACGATGTTTATATATTTCTTTTTTATTTGTTTAAGTTTTCATAAAGAAACTATATATTTTTGTTAATTTTAACAATATATTTTGATCACGTAACTAAGATAAACAAAATTTTTTTAAAGTTTTTATATATTCTGAAAGTCAATTCTCAGACAAAAAAAATGAGGTCTTGTTTTTAAAATTCTGACTAGTAATTTTTATTTTATTCTATTTCGATTGATAATGATCCTAGTTCTTTATTTTACGCACAGTCATGTACCTGTTTTTAGCTCAGTCGCGAAAGGGTTAAGAGTAAACTGCTTTGATAATAAATAAGCAAAAGTAAAAATATATCAGTCCTGGTAACTATTGCACAAGTTTAATTTTTAAACAAACAAACTTTTGATCTTTGGCTTGTTATTTTAGTTTACGCGAGAAAAACGAAAAAATGAAGTATAAACTTTTTCAGACAGTTTTTTTTCCTTTCAATATTCTTTTTAAAATAACACAAAAAAAAGGTTTCAATAACTTAATAAAAGTTTTATTTAGATCTGTTTAAAATAACCGTTAATGTAATTTATTTATTCAAATGTAATTTTTTAAATTATTCTTAATAATTAAAAAATTATATTTTTTTAAATATATGTTTTTAAAAATATAATACGATTTCTAATCAAAATAATAGAATATTTTTCAAATTATGTTTACTGTAATTATCTCTTTAATTATTTTTAATTTAAAAGGCGCCTTAAAATTACTTTAAAAATTATAACCTTTAGTAAAAGTTAAATGAACAGAGTATTACTAATATTTAATTCAAAAGTTAAATGAACAGAATATTACTAATATTTAACTAAAAATGTTAAATTTAAAATAATAGCAAATAAGTTTATTAAATGCTAATGTTTTTATTCAAATAGTTTATTAAATACGTTTATTAAATGCTTATTGAATTTGTTTATTAAATGCTTATGTTTTTAAGTCAAATACAAGAAGTAAAACTATTTTGTTAATTTTACAAATATTACGCGATATAATATATGAAAAAATATTATGTAATGTAAATACTGATTAAAAATTGTTTAAAATATTTTTAATTATTATTTTAAATTAAATTTACTAAAACAACGTTAATAACCGTTTAAAATACTTAAAATAATTTACTGAAAGCGTGGTATATTGAAAGCGTGGTATATGCAACAAAAGCGTTTATTAAAATTTTAAGTAAAATAGTTTTCTTTTAGCTAAAGAAACATCGTCCACCAATAAATTCATGTGTTCGAAAAATGCCTTTAAACACCTTATTATAGAATAAAACTGATTAAGATAAACATAAATGATTATTAAGAAAGTGATGATTAAAAATTATTGTTGCGGCACCCGTTTAACTAGGGGAGAATGAGGGGAGGGGGAAATCAAAAACATAATTCCTCACCCCCCGCTACATTGCTGGAAAAAAACGGTATCCCCAAATAAACTCTGGGTTCTTCACTGGGCAAGTCATTTCACATTAGATAAGAGATCATTGTGTTGTTCATTTGAGTAAAACTCAATGATGATCAAATCATTTGGTTCAGTTGCTATTGTAGTTGAACTGGTGGTATTGTTGAACTTTTTTGATAAATAAGTTAAGAAACGCCCAACAACTTAAAAAGGGACATTATAATTAATTTTTTTGAGAATACTTTGGACTGAAATTTGCCTCTGATTATTGTCAGAGGATTTTGAAAGGCTAGCAACAATAGTTCTTCTATATTTTGTTTCTGCAAGTTTGGCATTTTTGTTGACTGCTGTAATGATAGCTTTATTGACTTCTGAACTGTTCTTGAATGCGTTTGCACAATTGAGAGTGTTTTTGTTTTTTTTTATATTAAAGGCATATGAAAGGTATGTATTACAGGAAAAATAATTTAAAAAAATAAAAAAATAACTTTTTTTGTAGCAAAAAGTGTGATGAAACTGGAAAGTTTTGTGATTTATCACATTTCTTTATTTATGCATCTTGATATTTGGCATTATAATTATTAAAATGAGCATAGACTTTTACCTTTTCTTTTTTTTTAATTCCAATTTGGTAAATATTTATATTGCAGTTTGATTATATTATAATTTTTTTTTTTTTTTGTATTTCTTTATCAAAAAAGTTCATTTGTTTCTCTTATGATTTCATGTGAATTCTTTATGAATAAAGATTCTATTAAATGTAGAAATTTCTAAAGTTTGCATTAAATCAAAGCGACAGTGACAGATTTTACAATTTATTTTACATTCATAATTGAGCCTTAAATCGGGTGGCTGAATAAGTGCAAATTTCATAAGTACATGCTGGCATAAGTGCGAAGCAGTTGCAAAAACTGGCATAAGTGCGAACTGGCATAAGTACCAAATGGCATGAGTGCGCCAAATAAAATTGTAAATATTAACATAAGTGCGAATTGGCATTTTGCAATTATGCTAGTTCACACTTATGCCAATGCAATTATGCTAGTTTACACTTATGCCAATTTTACAAGTTCTTTTGGTGCACTTATGACAGTTTGTACTTATGCAAGTTCACACCTACGCCAATTTTCACTTATGCCAGTTCACTCTTATGAAATTCCCACTTATTTAGTCATTCCCCTTAAATGAATGACTTTGATACTTTGAAAGTTGTTTATGATTTAATAAACAAGTTTTTGCAACTGTTTACAATTATTTTAATTTTTTAATATTTTTACTTTAGTTAAGATATTAACGATTAAAATAATTATTTTATAAAATACTTATATTTATAAATATTTATAAATATTTGTAAAATATTAAATATTTATAAAATACTTATTGATGAAATATTCAACATGATTTCAAATATATTTAAAATACAAGAAATTAAAATTTAAAAAGTGTACGTATACCAATAAAATGTGAACTTTTGGTCACATGCTTCACCAACAATAAATGACTTTCAAATTAGTAAAAAGTGCAGTAGTCTAGACTGATTAAAAAAAACTACTTTAATAAAATGCTATGTTGCAGTGAATTTTATTTTAGTTTTAATAAAAACTATATTTTATATTGCTGCATCTTTGCATCAGGTTAATAATTAACACTGGATACTAGATAACACTGGATACTAGATAACACTGGATACTAGATAACACTGGATACTAGATAACACTGGATACTAGATAACACTGAATACTAGATAACACTGGATACTAGATAACACTGGATACTAGATAACACTGAATACTAGATAACACTGGATACTAGATAACACTGGATACTAGATAACACTGAATACTAGATAACACTGGATAATAGTTAACACAAGATACAATAATAATTCTCAAAAAATTGTCTTTCTGGGTGTCATGAACTTTTTTTTCCTTGTGTACTGAATATTATTACATAAAGCAAATAAAAAAAATAAAATTTTATTGGTGTTTTATTAATTTAATTAAAGTAATTATAATTCTAAAATTTAATATATTTTTCTTTTTTTACCATTTTGTAGAATAAATTGTGTGAAATGCGCATCAATACTGCTTCTCTACTTGCTCAGTTACTAAAAGATCGAGATAATCGAGAAGAAGCTATTAAACAATCAATTGTAATTTTGAAATTTTGTTTTGTTTTGTTTATATTTAAAAAAAAAAGCTATGGTTTTAAATTGTGGTATAATAATGACTAGGGATGTACTGGAATTCCGGGCGGAATTTGTATCTTTTAGATCAATTCACTTCCGGTCAGAATTGAATTTTTTTTTTTTAATTTTTTTTTATGACCTGTGACACAGACTGTGTAAATAAATCAAAAAATCATCCTACAGATGATGAACTATAGGTAAACCTAGGTAAAAAACACAAATGTAATTATTACTGCAAATAAAGTTACAATTGGTCTTAAAAATAAGTGGTCTTAAAATTAGTTCTGTTTAAGACATTGTTGCATTTTTTATTTAACATCATGTAAATTTGTTTTTATAAATTATGATCAATTTTTTTTTTGTATTAATTGATCACAAATAATTTTATTATGGCATATAACAATTTTTATATTTACTTTTTATATAATATTTTGTGTTAATTAATCACAAATAAGTTTCTTACTATACACGTTTTTTTTTTAATTTTAAACAGAGAGAAATGGATTTAAAGAGAGATAAAAATATTCAAGACTACTGGTTCATACAATTCCAACGATTAGTTGACAGAAGAAACTTTGAAAGTAATTACATGGTAAGTGTATTTTCTAGAGATGCCATGAATATTTAGTAACTATTTGATATTTGGTATATTCTGCACTAAATTTTGCTATTCAGTTTTCTAATTAGACTAGGTTCGTTTACTGTTTTTTTGCATTTGCTGACTGAAATTTGCTTTAGTCAAACATTCGTTTATGTTGTACTAAAGCAAATTTCTGTTAAGTCCAACTTTGGCTGATATGAAATATTAATTCGAGTTAAGGTGATTTATGCACCATTATACTAATAAAAGCTTGAAAAATGCTTCAGTGAAAGAAGTTACATATTGTATTCACAATGTTCTGAGTGTGCAGCATCAATAGATAACATTAGAGATCTTTCCCATTTCATGTAAATCAATCAATCAATATATCAATCAAAAATTTAAAAAGTGCTAAATAAACAGTTTCATTTTTTCAAAACTCTAGAAAACACTTTGATCTCTCTAACTATCCTGTGATTAGTCTTTACTCAGTTATTATTTTCTTTATATAAAGGTTTTGAGGTTAAGAAACTATTTTTTTCTAATTGCAGCATATTATATCTTTAACACAAAAAAGTTGACAGAAAATGTCCGTAGTGTTTCTACGGACATGATAATTATATTTTAAAGTAATAATATTCCTGATTTTCCTGATTATTACCCTGATCACTGCCATTGGATTGATTTTCATGTTACTAAACATGTGGTGGCATCTGCTGTTCCATATCTCACTTATGATGATTTGAGTGAGTGTCACCAACAGATTGATTTCCCATTTCATGTAAATGCTTTAGTATTATGAGTGTATCCAAGTTCAACAACACTTATTTGATCTTGGATTGCTTTCAAATGCTGCTTTAAATGATCCAAATTCAATTCTATTTTTTCAATTATGCTGAATCTGGGTTAATTTTGCATTGTTATGTTGCCAAAAGCATTGAAACTAATACTTTGCTATTGCCTTAAATATCAAACTTTTACCACTGAGTAGCACTTTAGTAGGAATTGTTGAATCAGGCAGTGTTGTACCTGGTTTTATAACATTGTCTATTTTCGTGATATACAAAAGTTATAGGGAAGTGTTAATTTAATGCAGAAATTTTGATTGATTTTATTGCTTTATACTTAAATCATGAAAAGTTGTCAAAGCTTTCAGAACTTCTTTTTTTTTTTTTAAAAAAAAAGGTATTTTTAGAAAATTACTTATTACTTTTAGTTGACCCAATACAAAGCAAGAATATCCCCTTATAATTTATATGAACAAATTTTTAAGGCAAAGTTTTTGCAAGACATCAAATATTTAATGTTTTGAGGAGTTTTTTCTCTTTTTTTTTTTAATTGTCAAGGATAAACTAAGGTGTTTTTTTTTTTATACTATCTGTGGTATATTTAAGCTGAAATTATAGGTAAATGAATGAAAATACATCATTTAGCTAATTTTCAAATCAAGTTTTTTTGTTTTTATTTAAATTTAATGTTTGTTGGTTTTTTACACAATTGTTGGTTTTTGACATAATGCCATTATCTTATTTAATTATGACGATAATTATAACGATAAATGATAAAACGATTTTTTTAATAAAATGCTAGGTGTTTTTTTTAATATATATATATATATATATATATATATATATATATCTTTGCAATGACATCGCAAATGGGGGAGGTGGTTTTTGACTGTGAAACAGAAAAAATAAGAAAAATAAAGATAAGGAAAATCAAAAATTATTATTTTAAAAAGAGACGTATATAAAAACAGCAACAAACAATATAAAAACAAGATCAAATAATATAATTAGGTAAAATGATTTAGGAGCAAAAAAATCACTGAAAAAAAAACAAACTAAATAGATAGTTAAAAGTTAAAAAATGTTAAAAAAAAAAAATAATGATAAAAAAGTTCAATAACATTTTATTACCAATGAAAAAGAAAGAAAAAGAACATTTTTTTTAACTTTTATTTTTTAAATTATTTTAGTACACTGTTCATACTGTAATGCATTTTTGTGCTTAGTTTAAATTGTCCTTTATTTTTGTACGTTGTTTATTTTTTAATCTAATTTTGTGCGCTGTTTGCATTGTTTGTTTGTTGTTGTTTTTTTAACTTTGCATAGATAGCTGTTGTGTTTATGAAAACAAGCGCCTTATTATTTTTATTATTATTGTTACTATTATTATTGTTATTGTTTTTATTGTTTTATTATTATTGTAGTCTTTATGTTTACAGATCTTTATATATATATCAAGCCTTCCCAGGAAAGGCATGCGGTTTTTTTTCTCGTATGACCACACGCGATTTTAGAAAATGTGAACACGGCCGTTTGCAAGTTTTATAATGCTGAAAAAGTTTCAAAAACAAAACAAAAAACATAATTAACAAAATAAAAAGAGATTTAAATAGAAAAAAATAAAAACAAATTAATAATTTAAATAATTTGTGTACTGTTTTTTATTTTTGTTTCTTTAGAGTTACATTCAGCAACAAAAATTAGATAAGGGGTCGTCCATAAATTACGTCATGCTATAAGGGGAGGGGGGTTGGTAGTTTTGTGACGACTCATACAAAACTTGTTTCTTAAGTGTTACGATTTTGTGATGAGGGGGAGGGGGAGGTCAAAATTTGTCAAAAAATGCATGACTTAATTTATGGACGATCCCTAAGGCGAAGCAAAAAAAAAAAACAGGATGAAGTCTACAATAAAAAAAATGATTTTCCTTTTCTTAATTTTTTTAAAGAGGATAGCAAAAATACAAATTGCAATGTGTTTGTAAAATTTATTTATATAATTTTAATGTAAAAACAAGGGTTGAATTAAGCGAATGCAAAACGCAAAATCTGGAAAAATATCTAGTATTCAAAATTTTAGTTTATACAAAACCGTGTTCCTTGTTTTTAAGGGGAGAATCAACTTAAATTTGTTAGCGAAAAAATAAAAAATAAAACAATAAACTTACAATTACAAAAGTAATAACACTCTAGTCACTAACTGCATTACAAAACTAATAACACTATAATAATGTTATTATTTTTATAACGCACTTATAACTTTTAAAATTCATATTTTGTTCAAGCAACATTAGTATTCCCAAATTTTAATTAAAGTAGAAAAATATCTAAAAGAATAAAGTAGATGTTCAAATAATATTAAAACTTAACTTATAAAAACGAGACAAACAACATGAAAACGTATTAAAAGTTTAGCATTATGAAAAACCATAGTCATAAGAAATAGATAGCCTGGTCACTTGGGTCGTATTATGTGATTTTTCTAATATTCGTTAAAAACACTTAAAAACTGTTGAACAGCTGGGAACAGAGTGCACAAAATATGGAAACGGACATAGATTTCAATGGTGAATTTGATATTGAAACTTATTCTTCTTAGCGAATTTAAAAATCGACTTGATAAAAGCATTACTACAATAATTGACAACAAATGCTATCCTGATTTGTATAGAAACGAGTTGAGAATTAATCATGCAATGCTGTTAGAAACTTCACAACAATTTGTTTTTATTTAAAATTATTGCTCTTTTGAGGCCCAGGTTGATATAATAAACTATAAATCTTTTAAATTCTTGTTATACGACATTTATATATGTTGAATTTGATAAAAATGACTGCATATAAGCTTTTTTGTTTTAAATATCAGTCAGCGAAATATTGTAAATATATAATTAAACAAAAAAGTTTATGTGCAGTCATTTTCATCAAATTCAAAACTTTAAATGAAATTAGGACTGAAAATATCAAAATCTAAAAACAAACATTCAAAAAACAAACATTCAAAAAACAATTTGAGTTTATAGTCTTAAAAAAATATTATATTTTTATGGAGAAAAATTCTAGTCTTCTCTTGTGAGATCATATATATAAAGGAGGTTCCAAGCTGAACTGGATCAAGATTAAATTATGACACCATATACCCAATTGAATAGGTGTCAAATAAAAGGTTCTGTTAAGGTTTCTTACTTTACAGATAATATGCTCAGAGTAGGCATTGAACCTCAGATCTATTGCATCTAATGCAAGTGATCTATCCATTACACATAAATAGACTTTTCCATGCTCCCAAATAGGGGGTAAGGCTGCAAATATAGGAGCCTTTTTTCTTATTTTAGAAGATCCTAAACCAAATTTCATGAGCTAGGTGCTTGTTTACATTGTAACAAAAGTAAAACAAACAAAAAAGTAAGTCTGCAAAATAAACTTTTTTATTTATTATTTAAACAAACTATTTCTCAATTAACTAATCAATATTTTATGCCATTTAAAGTTTTTTAAAAGATTTGTGGCTATGAAAATAGCCGTTTTCATGCAAAAATTATTTGTTATCAGCAGTATAAGGAGACATAAAAGAGTTTTTTTATTAAATTGATTCAAAAATCAACTTTTTTTATCATTTGATTTTTCATAGGAAGTCCATTTTCTGTGTGGTATACGTGTCATACTCTCCTCCATTGATGTTTTGTTTGATTCATTAAAACTCAGACAGTTACCTGCGATTGGGTGGAGTATATGTTGATTTCGAATAGTATTATCATTGAATCCAAAATCAAACAAAGAAGGATTATCTTTTCTTCTACCAATTGACCGTTGTTGTCCAAAGTAATTTTCTAAAGGATCCTGACAAAACCTTTCAGTTAATACATAACTAACATTATTGTTAATTAAAAATTTGAAAAAATTTGAAGTTCAACAACAGAATCAACTGGGATTTTTAAACCTTCATGGGTTTGCCAAGTAATAAACATATTACTTCTATCACTTTTTGAAAAATTTCCAGGTCTTGATTCGATAGAAAAAAGCCAATCAGAAAGATATTTTTAAAAATTTTCTTTTAGCCATGTAAATCAAATATCATTTGTATCAGAAAATGGTTTCAAAAACGAGTTGCATTTTAATATATAATCATTTGTATTACGAACATTTAAGCAATCAAAAAAATCATTAAAATATTTGCAAAACTGTGCAGTTCCAGAAGTATCTGATGGTGCATAGATTTCTAATG